ATTAGACATATAAATGGATCTTTTGAGATGAGTTTTTTTTTTATGAATCCCTCGTCCATAAACAAATAGATTAAAAGAAAAAAAAAAGTAAAAGAGAAGAAAAAAACTCTTGCAAGTATTAAATAAATTATTGCTGAAATTAAAAAAGTTCAAATGACATGTGTTAGCTAATTATTGATTTATACTATTTATAATTAAAAATTTAATAAACTAATTTTTTTGAGAAATTTTAGTGGGTTTTTCTCCAATGCGGATGCTCTTAATCAGTTTATTTGCTAAATTGTTTATTTTCTGGAGTTATGAGTTCGTAGTTACGGTAACCTTTTTTCGTTGTTTTTTCTAACTATCTTTATTTTGGGTGAGAAAACACATATTATTCAACTTCGACTTGTTCTTCTAGCCAACCCTAAAGATTTTAGGATGCTCAATTGCGACTAAAATCATTATTACTGGGCCAAGGAATTAGTAGAATACATGGGCTATGTGATTACATATATCATACCATACTAGCAGTAGCAGTGAGTGGGCTTGGGTCCATCTCCTTATATTAAACCTGAAATTGCTTAGAATTCGGTTGGTCACCAGACATTACTTAATATAGGGCTGGCCAAAAAAACCGAATCCGAAAATCCGAACCGAATTCGACCCGATAAAAAGGAATCCGAACCGATCCGAACCCGGCATAAGTACCGAATGGATCTTGTTTTACGGTATTTCGGGTTATGGGTATTACCCGAACCGAACCCGAACTTAAATGGATATCCGAAAGAACCCGAAACTTTAAAATTTCCAAAAAAACATGTATCATATCCAATCTAAATTTCTAATATGTTTCCAAAACATATTAATATATTATTGAGTACCTACAATAATTAGTTATGATATAAATAATTCACTCAAATATTTAGTCTAATATATAGTGTTATTTGGTTAATATTAATGTTTATGATTGACATTACATTTGAAGTTAAGTTACGAATAAATTTGTTTTGAAGTTTATATAATGTTGTTTTAAAATTAAATAGCACTTCCTATGTTTATAGAATTGTTAGTTGTTAACTTTAATTTTTTATGTTTCATTATGTATTATATTTCGTTCATACAAGGCTTTGGTTTGTCATTAATCATGATATGTTTAGTGTTGTCACATATAGTTCATTGACAAATCTTATATGGTTGATAGATGAGTTTCACAATATTATTTTGAAGGAGAACAATATGGTTTGTAGAANCTTTAATTTTTTATGTTTCATTATGTATTATATTTCGTTCATACAAGGCTTTGGTTTGTCATTAATCATGATATGTTTAGTGTTGTCACATATAGTTCATTGACAAATCTTATATGGTTGATAGATGAGTTTCACAATATTATTTTGAAGGAGAACAATATGGTTTGTAGAAGCTAAATACACAAATTTAATAAAATGACTAAAAATATAGTGAGTTTAGTTGAGTATAAATTAGTATTTTTAGAAACGATAACCCGATTAGTATCCGAAACCGAAACTATTTCGGGTTCAACCGGATCTTGGACATGTTACTAAACCCGAACCGAACCCGACTAAACCCGAACCGCATCCGACCCGAATTTTTATAATATCCGAATGGGGCTGAAATTTATGAACCCGAAAACCCGAAACCCGAATGAACCCAAACCGAAACCCGATTGAGACCCCGATTGCCCAGCCCTAACTTAATACGTGACAAATTCTTATTAACCTACTGATTCTGGAGGATAAATTTTTAAATGATGATTTATACTATACAGATTGCGAAAATATTACAAAAAATCAGCATTTTATGAAGATTAAGATTAACAATTGATGGTTCTAACCGTTTTCTGGTTATATCATACTAATAAAGATCTCATGTAATTTTTTTCCACCGATCTACTGTATATATATAATTGATGATAAGTTGCATTTCTGATGTTTTAAATACAGACTTTATAATATAAAAATATTAATAAACCCTTAAACAAATCACTGAAATAAAAGAGTTTCCATAGTTATGAAAGATGGATTCACAAGAGATTTTGTATGCACCATTCTTCATTGACTTTTCCTATAGCTGAGGTCAATAGACCCTCTGAGGTTAACCAGTTTCCATTCCATATCAAATCCGGTTCTGGTCGTAGCTACTCATCAAAACCTAACCAAGCGAACAAAACCCTACATGTGCCAATGGGCATGATAAATATTACATTTGGTATTTGCAGATTTCGACAAATAGAATAATAAGCATCATGTGATATATCTTCATAAATCCTGATAGTGGAACGCAATAATGCAATATGCATATACAAATGAATCATATATGTAAACCTACATCATTGAGGCTTACGACTTATAAACGTCGACTCTGATTGACAAAGTCAATCTCCCAATACCAAGCACTTTATAAAGTGTCTACCATATATTTGTCAAATAATGTTTAATGAATCTCATGATTACAGTATTTGAAATCTTTAAAAAAAAATCACACCCTCGGATCAAATGTATATTCACACTAACCCTTTTTTTTGTGCATCAAGGATTAAAACATTTTCCGAGAGTTGATATAATTTTCCCAAACAACTGAAACTGTCATTGGTACAACCGATCTCTTAGTGTTGCGGCAAAGGTCACTAATACTGTAATCAATCACAACACTTTGTTAATATATAAGGTCAAATATCAGCGTCTGAATGAAGATAATAAAATATCTAATCATTTATGTTCGTCGGGATTGATTCGATCTAGTAGGTTATGAATCATAATGGGGCATGAGGTTCTTGTATAGATGTTAAATCAATGGAGTAAGTGGCTGCTTTGTGTAAAGATTCACACTGTCCCTTTGTTCTTTTTCTTTCCATTGCTACACAAATCGATCTTTCACTAACGTCGTATGTACAATCATTCACTGATTTAACGTTTTTAGGTTTAGTGAAGTTCCACTCGATATTCAACTAAACATGTAGTTTCAATTAGTCATTACTTGATGCCTTGCAGGAACTATAAATGAAAAAATATATCAAGATTAATTAGAAGGTTATATCTGATAATGTTTTTAGTATATCATCATAATCTACACTTCAGTTAATTAGCACTTAGCACACACACTTTTATGTTCCACTGATACGTGGAAAATAATAAACACACATCCAAGGCCAACATTTTATCTACATGTTACTTATGGTGTCTCTTTTTTCATTAAAATTAAAGCCTATATGATTTAGTCAAACAAAGTGCTACTTGCTAGTAATAATTATAATCACCACATCTGATGCAACAATGATAAAGCAACATCCATAGACATCTTTAGAGTTTATAGGTTGCATATAATTTCGATAGTGATAAAAAAAAATTGTAACTATAACTTTATAATGAACTAATGGCACGATTAGATGGCGAGTTGAGGTGCAATTTAAGATGAGATGTTTGTAAAAACGACAAAAACTTGCCAAAAAAGATAGAGAAAGACAAAGGAAAAAGGAAAAGAAAGGCACCTTATGATTAAGACCCTCGAACTTACACAGAAACACAAATCCAAAAAGCTTTAGATAAGATACGAAGATGAATCCACGTTAGAGGACTTGATTAACCAAATTACTATGCATGGTGTAACAATGCAACGTACACTATGTATAAGATAAACTATTTATATCGTCCTTAAAACTGAAATAAAAAGGAAACTGTAACTCGTCGGTAGAAATGGTAAATATTTATCTATTTCTTTTACGTTTTTCATCCACACCAATCTCAGAAATGCTTTCTATGAAATCTGGCTTAAGATCCGGAGCTTGCAGCTTTTTGTAAAATAATGAAGATAGAAAGGTATATCTATGACTAACGGTATGAAAATGTAATGTAATAGATAAAATTATGATACATGAAACATTATGATGTAAATATATAGTAAATGAATTAAAAACCCCACTAACTCTCTTAAATATAAGCTGATAAACATCGATACTAAACACACTAACATAGAGTTTGGTAATTCATTATTGATCCTTTTAAAGACTTTCACACATTAATTCAACTATCCAAAGTTTTATTATAGGTCAAAACTTTAAACATATTCCTGATTTTGGGAAAGCATAGTATAAAATAAAAAGGTTGTTTGTGGAGACCACACGTCTTTATTTGGGAACACTGCTCAATATTGCTACTGCGGCTAAGTGGCAAAGACCTACCCCTACTGTTTCTTTCCACTTTTCATTGCCTCGTGTGGGCCCAACAATGAGAGCCCATGGGCCCAAAACTTTTCGAGATTCTCTTCTCTTCCTCATCCTCAATCAAGTCTATCATCTCCATTGCAATTATTGGTGATTTAGTATATAAATCTCTATTCGCTTAGTGAAACTAATAGTTAGCTAAAACATTACTAGTATTTAGTATTTACTCAGTAAATAGTGGTTTCGTTTTCTTTTATAAAGTGATATTGCAGTGATAAAAAAAGTTACATACTTCCGCTTGTTTCACTCAAAAGCACAAAAATAATGAACTCCATTAGAAGTTGATCCTATAAATCACTGACTACACATAATTTGGTGCATACATGAAGATGAATTACATTAAGAAAGCGTATTTTAGCTGCAAAATCAAATGCATGGTAGCATAACATGCGCCTCCAAGAGAAAGAAAATTGTTTTTTAATAAAAATAAATAAAAAACTGGAGAAAGAAAGAGACAAGGGCAGAATCGGAAAGTTTACAGGACGCTTTCTGTGACCTGTCGGGGAGTAGATGTCTATACATATGTAACATGTATATACAGATTCATACATTGTGTATAAAATTAAAATTTATCAAATACTACCATTTTTCTTAAATCAAAATTTTTATAACTCAAAGTCAGTCTATTTTAAAATAAATCCAATGTACTGTATAGTGATTTGTGTTTAAACCCCAAAGCGGAAAGAATTTACTTCTAATTATTGATTATAAAAATATATAAATTGCGTATATTTATTCAAATAAATAAAAGAAGAGAAACCTCTAGCTTTTGATTATCACACAAGTTTATGTTTTTCTTCTTCTTCTTCCTCTCTCTCTCTCACACAGAAAGTGTTTTACTGTTTTCTCTAATCACTATACGCTTCAACAGTTTCTCCACACGCATCCTTGAGAATGTCTGAATTTCTAGCAGCAGAGCATGATTACATAGGTTTGTCTGAGTTTCCAACCATGGAAGCAACAAAACCAACGTCTGACAACAAAACCAAAACCACAGACAACAACAACAACAACGACGATGACGTTCTGAATTTCAAGGCCACCGAGTTAAGACTCGGTTTACCCGGTTCTGAGTCACCGGAACGAGTTGACCAGCGGCTCTGTTCTCTCAAGAGCTCATGTCCTGTGTCAGGTGCCAAAAGGGTGTTTTCTGACGCCATTAACGGGTCTACCAAATGGGTCTTCTCCACTGATAGCTCCGCCGTGGAAGATATTAAACCGGACGTTCCGGTTAAGGAGAAGAAGAGCTCTGCATCAGCAGCAGCTCCAGCTTCGAAGTAAGATAAAAAATAAAAAAAGCTCTCTCCTTTCTTGCTGGAAACGTTGTAATAGAGATATCTCTGTTTTAGCACTTTTAATGTTTTTTATTTTATTTTTGGGGTTTTGATGGAACAGGGCACAAGTTGTGGGTTGGCCACCGATTAGATCATTCAGGAAGAACACAATGGCTTCTTCTCAGAAACAAGGTGGTGGTGGTGATAATAATAACAATAACTCAGAGACTGAAGGAGAAGCAAAGTCTGGACCAGAGCCTTGCTTGTATGTTAAAGTGAGCATGGAAGGTGCTCCTTACTTGAGGAAAATCGATCTCAAGACTTACAAGAGCTACGTTGAGCTCTCTTCTGCTCTTGAGGAGATGTTCAGCTGCTTCACTATTGGTAAGTCTCTTTCACTGAGAACATACTTGAGAGTGTGACTGAGTTAGTGTAACTGTTTTTCTTTTGGGTTTTTACAGGTCAGTTTGGGTCTCATGGAGGGTGTGGCAGAGATGGGTTAAACGAGAGTCGCTTAACTGATCTCTTGCGTGGTTCTGAGTATGTTGTTACTTATGAAGACAAAGACAGTGACTGGATGCTGGTTGGTGATGTCCCTTGGGAGTAAGTCTTTGATTTCTCGTTTTTAGAAACCAACTAAAATCAATCAACAGCTTAACCTAACCGGAGAATATAGATCATTGAAACTCTTACTGTCTTTTCTCTGCAGAATGTTTATATGTTCTTGCAAGAAGCTGAGGATCATGAAGAGCTCTGAGGCTATCGGCTTAGGTTAGTCTTTCCTCTAAACTCTTGTTCTAAGCAAATCATCTGCTCCTTAAAATTTTCTTCAGGGAAAGAAACATATCATTGAGGAATAGCTTAGAAAGGATACCACTTGGTTCTTTCAGAGCTCTTGAAACACTAAGAACCGACCGTCTCTAACACGTATCTTATTTGTTTGCAGCTCCAAGGGTGATGGAGAAATGCAGAAGCAGGAACTAGTAAATGCCCCTTTTTATGTGATGATATATGATTTGGAAGAAAGAAAAGATATGTTATTAAGAAATGTAATAACCATTTTGTTTTCAAGTATTCTTGTGTGTGTTTTGTGTGCTAAGAGTGATGTTTGATCTTTCTCAAACCAGCCTCTACTAAGTTCTAATAAGGTCTCTTATCTCTTACTTTTGTCTCCAATCCATCAAATGGGTTTTTGTGTATGTGTGTTTTTGCTAAGTAAGACTTCATAACTCATATGTATAAAAAAGATTGTTAGTGTGTAAACCAGATGCAGTTCTTAACTTCATATCGATGTAATCTTGAGAGCAACATCCTCAGAAGCTTCTAAAGCAGACCTCACTATAGAAACATTCTCTAGTTCATAGTTTACGTTTAAGTGATATCTCCATTGATAGAACTATTGGATTCAAACATACTGATACGGATCATTATATTACTAAAAATGTACAAAAGGGTTTAACACACGCACACCACTTACTAATGTTTCCACATTTTCATATCAAATGTATTTTATGTTATATTACAGAACCTAATCCTCAGTTTACTTCCATGTACAAAACGTGAACTAGAAACCGGAAAGGCTTACATGGACTATATAGACTAACTCCGATTTGCTTTCCTTATGTCTCTCAATTCTTCTGGAAATTCCAGCTTCTCTTGCTAATGCTGTTCACTAGCCAGCCAAAGTCGAGTAGATTCTGCCCGTATTGTAACCTCACGAGGTAGCTTCTGTAAGGTATCAGTATGTTTTTAAGACCTGAGAGCATTCGATACAGATGGTTACAAAATATATCATCAAGGCATGCCGCATTAGAGAAACAAACATAAAGTAACGTTCTAGTTAGTTACCTGTTATGCACATTGTCTTATAAAAGTGAGCAACTTGAGCATCACCCCTAGTAACAACGCGCTTATTCGACTCCAAACACTCAAGAAACGCCACATCAGCTTTAAGCAACTCAGCCTGGTCATGAGTATCATAACCAATATCATGGCAATAACAGCAATGGTCTAACCAATCAATAGGTCTCTGATCCCATATCGGTGAACCCCCATCTTTCCCACTAGACCAGTTAGGTCCACAGTAATGCCCGTACCTCGGGAAAAGCTGCGAAAGAAACGCTCTAGGTCCTGTGTGCCATGGAACCTTCGACACATAGGGTCTAAACCGATACACAGTACTCACAGTATTAACTCTCGAAGACCTGCGAGACACGGCGTGCTTTTTCAACCCTCTGTTGATAGTAGTGGGTTTCTGCTTCCCATCACGTGAAGATGCAGCAGCCCAAGGAAACACAGAACCAAGGGAGAAAGTCCATATCTTTATGTCAAATAAGCTTTTCTCTTGGTCTTGTTGTTCAAGGAGAGAAGTCGTGGAAGTCACGGTTTCTACCATGGTTACATCTTTCTTAGAGTAGGTGTTGTTAAACCAGGAGATACTCGGTAACCCAAAGTTCATCTGTAAACAACACACAGTACATTAAATGACTTCAGCAATCGAGTATCAACCCTTCATGTTAGGAGTAAGTTAAAAAAAAACACAAGAATTTGTTTCTGAAACTCATTGAAACCAACATTTCTTGTGTAATGATCCAGATACGAAGACAAGTTTTAATTTTTCATACATTAGTAAGTTTAATGACTGCAGAACCATTCACGTTGGAGTAACTGAAAAAACAAGATTTTGTTTCAGCAACCTTTTGGAAACCGACCTATATTGTGTAATGATCCAGACAAAAAGACAAGTTTTAATTTTTAAGACATGGGTTTAGTTTAAGAAAAGGAATAAACTTTGGTCTGTGTAAGATGAGAGTGTTTGTGGTAACAACTTTCTAAATTTCATCATTTCATGATAATGCAAAGAGAGTAGTTTCAATAGATGATAAACAAGTCGAGATCTCGATTAACATATAAAATTCATTAAACCTAAATTGCATTAGATCGGAACTAAAAGGGAGATATAATGAGAATAATTGAATCAAAAAGACCATGCACTGAGATTGAAAAATGAAATTGACGAACCTGAGCAGGAAAATTTACAGACACGCTACGAGGAAGACAGCTTTTTCGTTTTCCTTCACGAATCGCTTAGTTTAATCTAGACCTTCTTTTTTAAGCCGACACTTTAATGGGCCGAAAAAATTTAGTGGGCCATAATTTATAGCCCATATATGCACTGGATTATCACAGAAAGTGAAAGTCTCCACCTCTGAGAGAATGTTGTAGACAAGTGAAAAACAATCTCATATTTTCATGAACAAAAAAGTTTACAGATTTTTGATTATAAACTCTAATCAAAAGGTGAATACAGAAATTTTTAGTCTACAAAACAAAAGGAAGACTTTAAACTCATGTCACAAAAGATCACTTCCTTATATATGTCTTTCCCTCCTCAGTTGTCTTCTCCAAGGGTAAACTTCACAAACCTCCTGACTTTGATGTTTTCACCAAGAGTAGCCACAGTTTGCTTCACAAGATCCTTGACCAGAACGCTATCATCTTTAATGAAAGGCTGCTCAAGCAATGCCATTTCTCCAAGCCTCTTTGAGATCCTTCCTTCAACAATCTTCTCCTTTATGTTCTCTGGTTTAGACAAGAGATCCTCTCTTTGCATCTCAATCTCCTTTTCTTTCTGCTTTATCTCCTCTGGAATATCCTCAATGGATACATATTGCACCTGCGTGTGTACACGTTTTCCATGTCAGAGATCACCAAGCCTATTGTTTTCAGATGAGAAATTTTCTTTACCTGTGGATTAGCCACTGCTTGCATTGCAAGATCATCAACCAGTTCCTTGAACTTTTCGCTTCTTCCAACGAAATCAGTCTCGCAGTTCACTTCTATGAGGACTCCAATGCGAGCATCATGGATGTATGAACCAATTCTCCCTTCAGCTGCAAGCCTGCTTGATTTCTTATCAGCTGTTGAAAGACCTTTCTTTCTGAGGTATTCTTGTGCTTTCTCAAGATCTCCTCCTGTCTCTGCCAACGCCTTCTTGCAATCCATCATTCCTGCTCCTGTTTCTTCACGCAGCTGCTTCACAAGACCAGCTGAAACGACCGTAGTTGGTGGACTGCAATGCCATTTTCAAAATAGTTAAGTCTCTTTGTATCCAAAACGAACATAATCAAGAAGAGAGAAATATTGTTTCACCTTGGGACAGCTTCCTTGGGCTCTTCAGCTTTTGGCTGTTCTTTCTCTGGTTCGGCTTTTGGTTTAGCTGCGGTTTGAGCAGCAACCTCAGCAGCAAAGTCCTGACTTTTCTTCTCAAGGCCTTCTCCGAGAGTGTACCTAATGAATCTCTTCACCTTGATGTTTTCTCCAATGGTTGCAATCCTCTGCTTTACAAGGTCCTTCACTATCACCTTATCGTCTTTAATGTATGGTTGCTCCAGCAATGCAAGTGCGTCTACCCTCTTCTTTATCCGACCTTCCACTATCTTCTCCCTTATCTGCTCCGGTTTCGACAGAAGATCTTCCTTTTGCATCTCTATCTCTTTTTCCTTCTTCACAATTTCTTCGGAAACATCTTCTGGTACAAGGTACTCTACTTGAGGGCACGCAGCCACCTATGTATCAAGTCAACTTATGTTTCTCAGTTATAGCAAAGTAAAGAAAATGCTGTTAGCTAGAAGATTTGGAGTTTACCTGCATCGCCAGATCATCAACCAGTTCCTTGAAAATGTCACCGCGTGAGACAAAGTCTGTCTCACAGTTAACCTCCAAGAGGACACCGATTCTGCTGTCATGGATATACGAACCGATTCTCCCCTCGGCTGTGGCTCTGCTGGCTTTCTTGTCTGCGCTCGCTAGTCCCTTCTTGCGGAGGTACTCTTGAGCTTTCACCATATCGCCCTCGCTCTCCAAGAGCGCATTCTTGCAGTCCATCATTCCCGCTCCTGTTTCTTCTCTAAGCTGCTTCACTAAGGCCGGTGAAATGCCAGCTGCATCAGAGAGAAATTTCCCATTAGATCATGAAGCAGAGATCTAAAGAAGCTAAAAATGTGCAAAATAAATACCTTTGATGCCACTTTCCTCAGAAGAAGCTTCTGTGACTACAGGGGCAGGAGTCTCGGCTTCAGCAACAGGTACTTCCGCCACCACTTCCTCCTTCTTCTCAGCGTCTTCACTTGCTACATCTTCTGAAGGTGAAACTTCATCAGGTACGGTTTCAGCAACAGGTTTTTCGGCCACCACTTCCTCCTTCTTCTCAACGTCTTCACTTATTACAGCTTCTGGAGATGAAACTTCATCAGGTACAGCTTCAGCAACAGGTACTTCGGCCACCACTTCTTTCTTCTTCTCAACGTCTTCACTTATTACAGCTTCTGGAGATGAAACTTCATCAGGTACAGTTTCAGCAACCGGTACTTCGGCCACCACTTCCTCTTTCTTCTCAACGACTTCACTTGCTACAGCTTCTGAAGGTGAAACTTCCTCTTCACCTGGTAACCAGTAGAAGAAACGGGTCAATGATATTAAGACACTAAACCAATGAACTGATTCAATATTAATTAAAGACAATTCAACCTACTTTTAGTTTCTGGAACTGGTGGAAGCTCAGGCGTTTCCTCAACCTTTTCAACCTCCTCAACTTCAGTTACTGAAGCAACTGTTTCAGTTTGCTCTTCTGTCTCCTGCGAATCATCTTCAGCTTTGGTCTCAATCACTTCTTCTTGTTCTACCTTGGGAGTTTCTGATGAAAGAACCTCTTCACTTGTTTCTTCACCTTTCTTAGAGGTGACAGATGCTTCAGCTTCTTCTGATTCCTTCACAGCCTCTACTGGTTTCTCAGCTTCTTCCTCCCTCTTGTCAAGAAACGCAGCAATCTCCTCGTTCTTACGGAAAGCAAGCACAAACGGATTCGTGGCTGTATGCACAACCCCTTGACTAAGCGTTTCATCAAACTTACCATCATCTTCCTCTTTCATCGTTAAAGTAACACGTCCTCTCGCTATTCTCAGCACACGAACCTTAACCTCCTGTCCAGCTTGCAACGAAGAGCCACCACCCATCATCATGCTCCCAATCCCATCATCTGCTTCCTCATTCGTAGGTAAGAACCCTTCTTCACCTTCACCAATCGTTATAAACGCTCCTGACCTCGTCAAATTCTTCACCGTCCCATCCAACATCTGCCCTTTCACATACTTTGAGCTGAACCCATCTTCCTTCTTCCCACCTCCTCCTTTTGAAGCATTCCTTTTCCCTCCTGGCCTCGGCTTATTATCACTACCACCACCACCACCACCACCGGACTGGCGTTTAGAAGGATCATCACTGGAACGCATAGTGAGAGAAATACGTTTACCCTCAATGTCAGCTTCAACCAACCTTACTTTCACCTCTTGCCCAATAGTGACAACACTCGCAACATCTTTCACAAAGGTGTCACTCAATTGAGAGACATGGACTAATCCATCAGTGAAAGCACCAAAATCTACAAAAGCACCAAAGGGCTGAATCGCTCTTACTTTCCCAGTGAAGGTAGCACCAGCAACAAGCTCCTCGTTCTTGACCGCAGGCATTTCACTCTTCCTTCCAGGTCTTGCTGCTCCCCTTGACTGAGTTGTAGCAGGAGCTGCTGCAGGAGCAGCAGTATCTGAGTTGTCATTTGAATCGGTTTCCGCAACAGGAGGAGAATCTTGTCCCTCTACTGCTGCAACAACATCAGTCTCTGTGGCTCTAATACGATGAGGATGCAACACAAACTGCCGTCCGTGAGTAGGAAACAGTTTAAGCGAAGTTGAAAGAGGAAGGACCAGTCTTTGAGTTGACGATGGTATCTGTTTGCTAGCTTTACGAGAGAAGCAACATTTGATGGAGCAGTCATTCTTCTTTACAGTAAAAGTAGCTCCAGGAATGAGCCATGGTTTGCTGATAGAGGTAGGAGTAACCGTAGCCATCTTCACAGTGGCTAAGAAAAACTGTCACCTACACATAAAGCATCATTACACACTATCCAAATTCAAGCTCCATTGAACAAGCACAGAGACTGATATGAACACAATTGAAAATTCAAATCTCTAAACAAATAAAGTTCGTAATTTGGGACTGTCTTATCACGTAAAAACACGCGAGTTGTAGAATGATTGAACGAGTTGCATTGAAAAGAAATACATTTGAAAACAAGTAAGAAAGGGAGCTACCTTTGGGTTAGCCTTGGCTCTGAGAAAACTCTCCCAGGAAAAAAAACTAAAGCGATAAAAATCGCTAGTTTCGCTGATAAGCTTAAAGAGAAACGATAGAAGAGGTGTGAGAGGTTTTTAAAGCCTTATCTCATTTTGTCTGTCTCTCTACAAAGATGAGATGATTGTCTTTTTCTTCTCTCTCCTCGCTATCAATTACCTCAAACTCCTAGCCGAGTCGATTATGTCCAACATAGGCTTCATGCTAAGGCCCATTCTGTTACGAATATTAGGCCCATTAAGATTCCATAGCTCGAGTGTTTGAGTTTTAATTAGGGCTGGACAAAAAAACCTAAACCCGAAAATCCGAACGAACCCGATCCGATAAAAAGGAATCCGAACCGATCCGAACCCGACATAAATACCGAATGGATTTTGTTTTACGGTAGTTCGGGTTATGGGTTTTATCCGAACCGAACCCGAACTTAAATGGATATCCGAAAGAATCCGAAACTTTAAAATTCCAAAAAAAAACTTATATCATACTTAATCTAAATTTTTAATATGTTTCCAAAACATATTAATATATTATTGAATACCTATAATAATTAGTTATGATATGAATAATTAACTCAAATATTTAGTCTAATATATAGTGTTATTTGGCTGTTACTAATGTTTATGATTGACATTACATTTGAAGTTAAGTTACGAATAAATTTGTTTTGAAGTTTAAATAATGTTGTTTTTTAAATTTTGAATATTACTTCTTACGTTTATATAATTGTTAGTTATTAATATTAACTTTTTATGTTTCATTATGTATGATTTTCGTTCATACAAGACTTTGGTTTATCATTAATCATGATATGTTTAGTGTTGTCACATATAGTTCAATGACAAATCTTATATTGTTGATAGATGAGTTTCATAATATTATTTAGAAGCAGAACAATACGGTTTGTAGAAGCTAAATACACAATTTAATAAACAAATTGAAAATATAGTGAATTTAATTGAGTATAAATTAGTACTTTTAGAATCGATAACCCAATAACTATCCGAAACCGAAACTATTTTGGGTTCAATTGGATTTTGGACATGTTACTAAATCCGAACCGAACCGAACTCAATTAAACCTGAACCGAATCCGACCCGAATTTTTATAATATCCGAATGGGACTGAAATTCATGAACCCGAAAACCCGAAACCCGAATGAATCCGAAGCGAAACCCGATTGGGACCCCGAATGCCCAGCCCTAGTTTTAATGAAGATCCTGATTTTCTGAAGGCGATTATTTTTGAACCGAAGCAGTTGAGTTTGATACATAATCATATTCTATTACGGTCGATTTATTAAAGAAACCTTTGATCTAGATCGGATCTTTCGTCTTCGTTTCAATTGGTTTAAGCCTTTAATATGATCTGATATTGTGAAAGTAGTAGTACTCATCGTAAATGTAAATGAAAACGAATTGTTATTTTAAAGGAAATCTGATGACATACACTCCATAGATCCTAAGCAGAAGCAAATGTTGTTCAAAAAAAGTAGAAGCAAATGTATCATAAAGCAAAGAGTAGGGAAAGACGACGACGATGATATGATTACATGTAAAGGCCTTCAGGGACGCCTTCTTTCTTCTTGAACATAACCTTCTCCTTTGCTTTCTTGAAATCCGGATGCGTCACCTGAACACACCCACAACATCAACACATTAGAGTCTGTGACTAGTAATTTCCCAAGTGGCATGGTTTGAACTGAATGGTTAAGACTCTTTACCTTCATACGACGCTCCCTGAGAGCAAGCAGACCAGCTTCAGTGCAAATAGCTTTGATATCAGCTCCTGAGAACTCATCCTTTGTCATGACAAACTCTTCCAAGTTTACATCTTCCGACAGAGTCATCTTCGATGTGTGTATCTATTTTCAAACAGAGACATACAAACTCGATGAACAAGAAGAAACTTTTGAACAATCCATTGATTTTGATTTCTCAGCTTAATTAATTACCTGGAAGATGCGTCTTCTGGTTTTGATATCTGGAAGTGGGAATTCGATCTTTCTATCAATACGTCCAGGTCGAAGAAGTGCAGGGTCAAGACTCTCGATTCTGTTTGTTGCAAGGATGACCTTTACGTCTCCTCTTGAATCAAATCCATCAAGCTGGTTCAGAAGTTCCAACATAGTTCTTTGGATCTCACGCTCTCCTCCTGAGTTTGCATCATACCTGTTTCCATTTCAAGCTTTAATCAGTTACTATCTATCTCTGAAAAACAAATAGGTTATATCAAGTTAGTCTGACTTACCGCTTGGTACCAACAGCATCAATCTCGTCAATGAAGACGATTGATGGTGAAAGGTCATCAGCAACTCTGAAAAGCTCCCTCACAAGCTTGGGACCATCTCCCAAATACTTCTGAATCAGTTCACTACCAACAACTCTCAAGAAAGTAGCTGATGTAGAGTTGGCCACCGCCTGATATAAAACCAGATTGTTCAAATCTTTAGTAAGAACATACACCAAACAAAAACTAAGCGACCAAACTACAGCAATTACATTTATCTGACGGAGACAAAAAAAACAAGTGATTCATAAGATCTGGAAAGTATTTTTGCCATGAATAAAATTTCTGAAATGTTTGGTAACCAGCACAACAAAGGTTTCACCTTTTTCAAATATATCTACTTAAGAGCACAGCCTCACATATTTTTTAAGAACTCTATCGCAATCAGACTATAGATTAATCTGAACAGGTCACTAAACGTAAATGTAACTTTAAGTAGTAACAGATAACTACATGTTAGATTAAAGGTAGAAAAGCAAGACCTTAGCAAGTAGAGTCTTCCCAGTTCCAGGCTCACCATACAAAATCACACCTTTAGGCGGCTTAATCCCAATATCCTCATACAACTCAGGATGAGTCAAAGGCAACTCAACAGCCTCCTTAATCTCCTGAATCTGAGCTTCTAACCCACCAATATCAGCATACGACTCCAAAGGAGCCTTCTCCACTTTCATCACAGACACCATCGGATCCACTTCATCTTGCAGTATCCCAACAACAGAGAGAACCTAAACCACAACAAAAAAAAAAAACCCAAATCAAACAAAGATCCAATCTTTTTCAAAACCCTAATTCACACAATACCAATTAAAACAAATCTCATAACAATCACAACAAAAGATCCAACCTTTTTCAAAACCCTAATTCCCAATTACCTTATTTTGCATCAAAATCGAACAACCAATTAAAACACATCTCACAACAAAAGATCCAACCTTTTTCATAACCCTAATCCCCAATTACCTTATTATGCATCAAAATCGAGCACCCAGGCTCGAGCTGATCTTTATCAACAAAAGACAAGATCCCAACGTAATACTCAGGCCCAACGGAAGACGAAACAATCGCGTGATTCTCATCAATCAACTCCTCCAAGTTCCCAACGCTCATCGGCGTCCCGCGGAGATCATCGACCTTAGATCTATCTTCCTCCGCCTTCTCCTCCTGAGGCTTCAGCCTCTCCTGATTCGCCACAAACTCTTCCTCCATCAAGAGGTAATCCTTGATCCGCTCCATCTTAAGGAGCCTGAGCTTGCACTTGGTGGAAGGAGTCACCGTAGGGAGCCGCGCCGCCGCTTCTGGACCTTTTTGACGACGCTGCTTCCTCCCGACGCGAGACGGTGGCGCCGCCGGCTCGAACTTCTTCTCTTTCTTGTCGCCGCCATCGGGCTTCTTGTCTCCTTGACGGTTTAAACCTCCGGATGGACCTTGACCCATGATTGATTTACTTCTGAGAGATTAGCTTTGCTCTTTGTGTTTGTTTCTCTTTGTACTGAGATTCTTGGCTTTGGGAAGAAGATATCTTTTTTACCCTATTTTTTTTTTAATAATTAATAATCAGATTATGGGCCTAATAGGCCCAAAACAGGAATCGGGCTTAAGTGTGCTACGTAAAAGGCCCATAAGATTTGAAACTACCCTTCCAGACCACCATGAAGTTTACGTAAACCATTTTAACAAATCTTTATTATTATTATTTTATTTTTTTGTGAAGCAGTGATCATTAATTTAAGTAACCGTTTACAATAGAGAGAGAGCCTGTTTGGCAACAAGGATAATAGTCTGTGTATTTATAGATGATTAAATTCATATTCACTCATAGGTGAACCAACAATAGGGTTTTCTGTGGGAGCATCCCATTTATACATGAAATATTCTCCATCAAATTTCTTATTGAGGACATAGACTCCCTCTTCTTTTGCAATCCATTTACATACATTAGGGTCCATTCCAGTACACGTACCATCTATAAAATCTTTGTCCGGAACAAACGCAGGAAAAACCACATGGTGTTTGTAATCTGGTCCCTGAAACATATAATTAGATATATATAGGGTAAGAGCTGCAATTGCATATGTCGAAAAAAATGTATAAACATCTCTCACCTGCCATAAATTGCACCAATACCGAGTAGTTAGGAGGATGGTAAATTTAAATTGAAAATTTTCGCCGATGTTAAGATAGGTAATCGGAAAATCATGACTTCCGCTCTTGCAATGAACCTGGAGTTTTTTGTTAAAACCTAACTGGTTTACAATTTCAACATTGAATTTTCTGAAGAGAGGAGGCATCAACGAGTTTATTGAATCAAAGGAAATGAGGATAAGCAAAAAAATAAGTAGACCTCTTCCCATCTTTTTTCTCAGATGTTTAATAATTGTTTGTGACGAGTATGACAATAAATCTGTCACTCATATATATACAAATAACAAATATATTTGTCTATTCCTTTAATAATTTTACTATAACTGGTCACCATTTTAGAAACGGTGGAAACAAATCAAAAAAGAAAAGAAAGAAAATAATATGAATGAGTGGAAATGATTGTTTCTTTTCAAGTTTGTTAAGAAATAATTTTGTTATATTATTTTCTACAGATAAAGGAATGAGAAAGAATGAAAGAAAAATGATTCCTTATAAATGGTGTATTTTTATAGAAATGATACAGAATTGAATGTTTCTTCTCTCACCATTTACACTCTTTGACTCTGTTTTATATTTGATGTAATATACATATTTTGCAATCACATTTCTAACCAAAATAATACTAAGCAAAACCAATGTTAAAAAGTAAGACTTAAACTCAAAATAAGAAGTCAAAACATGGCCCTAGTAATTGTAAATAATTTGTGGCCTGAAGCTCATGCTTCATAAGCTTTTTGGAAGGGACTTCATAAGCTTTTTGGAAGGGAAGGCACCACTGTATGGGGTCATACAACTTATTCATAAACAAAGTAAAGAAGTCAGAATATAATATTACTAACAAGTATTATTTGATTGATAAAAAAATATATTACTAACAAACAAAGATGAATTTACTTCATAAGCTCATGCTTCATAAGCTTTATGGAAAGGAAGGCACTGTATGGGGTCATACAACTTATTCATAAACAAAGTAAAGAAGTCAGAATATAATATTACTAACAAGTATTATTTGATTGATAAAAAAATATCTAACTATATTAAAAGTTCTAAATAAGCCAAGGGGAAGGTGTCCACATCCTCAAAAATAATCAACCAATAAGGAACTTGTGTTTTGCCATGTCACATCCGATTTGGATGATGTTGGGCTGCTTTTTTGTTTGAATTCTTTTTTGTTCAGTTTGGTTTGTTTGTCTGGCCCATCAAAATGAAATCCCCCCCTCTCCCCTCTTTTTCGTCGTTTTCTCTTCTCAACCGACGGCCTTCTGTTATAATACTAGAAGTCCAAGCCTTTTTCTCTCATCCCCAACATTCGTGTCGAAGAAGAACGCAACACAGTTCTCTCCGGTTTATTAGACTGATTAGGAGCATCGATGTAGTGATTCCGGTTTCATGGGTTTCGACCTGTCCTGGATCCGACCCGATTATCCAATCAACGTTTTTTTCTCAAGATAATGTTAGTTTTAAAACTTGCTTCTGTTTTTTTAGTAGTTATTATAATCGATAGCTTAGATCATGTAGCATCAAGAAACATTTCTTTCTGGCAATTGGTTCTGATTTTGTTAGAACTGTTTATTAAAAAGATATATTAGGCGTGTGAAATTTAAATAAAAGAATTTATTTGTTAAAGAAACTTATGACTAAGTCCCACCGGTCTTGAATCCTTGAACGACCAATGCTTTTCTTTATCTAGATTTGTGCATTTAATCTTATGTCCTTGCAGATGTTACAGGTGTTGTAATCGAACTAGGAGAGTCTTGTGCTTCTACAAGTTCTGAGCCTTTTGTAAAGTTCCACATTACTGGAACTGACACGCTGTTACCAATTTAGGGACTCCTGTTATTTTTTCCCCAGCACTTAAGACGACCGAACTTCAACCTAATAAGACAGAGACAAAGAGTGTCAAAAAGTCAGAGGAACATAATACTTCGAGTTTGATGTCTACCTAATCTCCGTTCTTAAATAGAAACGCGACCAGTGGGCTGAACTTGACTTCCAATCCAAGGAAAGCAGTGGAAATTTCCAAAGCTACCTTTGTCTCTCTGGTACATCCGATTTATATCTGAACATAGTTTCATCAGTGACAAAGCGAATGCTCTTACATTGTTTACTGTGATTGACTAAAGCCGTATTCTTTTAGGTAAATACGCACAAGAAGCTGTCACAGCAGCCATGAACGTTGGGAGACTATTGTTTCAAATCCATACCTCAAGAGTGTGGGAATTGATTGGTGGTATGTGAGAAAAATTATGGATTAAGAGCTGTCTATGGAGGGTAAGTACTGAAAAAACATCTTTCACCAAGACAAAATTGGCTCCATGTATAAATGATATCTCTCTTTTTGGCTTTCAGTTTTGTTACTGCATTGAAGGATCTAAAACTCTGTGTGATTATCTCTCAAACTTATGACCTTCATGCTGATTCATCTATATTCTCGGCACTGAAGAAGAGGTATGTGTATATATAAAATACTCTCACATATATGCATCTCTATTGCCTTTTTGATATTGATGAATGCAAAATCTGATGTGTAAACAAACCCAGATGCAGCTTGGTCTCAGTAATGGCTGATGTGGACCGGATGCTTAGAGCACAAGGAACATTTATAGTAAGAGATGACATAGAAACAAAAGGAGAAATTGATAATATGATGGAATCACTAATGGAATGTAAGAATGACACATTCCCAAGATGGAAAAGGAGTGATCTCTGTTCAGGAGTCAAGGTGGTGTCTTACATGGGTTGAGACCATTACATCGGAGATAGCAAGTGAAAGAGAATTGGTTTAATATAGTTTTATGAGTAATGTTTCTTTTGTGATCATGGTGATTATTTACATTGTATTAGGCCAATATGTGTATCTTTTTTTTGCATTGACAAAAATTGTATACAAAGACACTGTCCCAATAGGGTAAGCTTTGATAAACTTTTGATTTGGTCCTAAACATCCGTGAATATTTATACTACTGTAGCAAACTTATATATACTGTATATTTGGACTATAGGTACATGATGAGTCCAGGTTACATCACAAAAGAACTGTCAATAGAAAAAAATACAACTAGAGCAAAAGGAATTATTAAACTAAAATAAATTGTAACAAATTTAAAATAAAACATTAGATTCAATAACAAAATATAAGAAAATTGTTACTATAAAAAATAACTTATACAATAAAATCAATGTAAACTCTTATTCCCAAAATTAATCAGTAACTCTTATATCAAAAATTATAATTATTTATTCAGATAAGATGGTTTGTGTGGTATCCAAAGATAATAACATATACAAAATTCAAATAAATATCTTATATCTAAATAGTAACAATTGATGTCAGGTTTTCATGTTACCTTTGTTATAATAAAATAAGAAAAATTACGTACAAAAGAAAGTATATATTTGACAAAAAAAAGAAAGTATATATCAAACAAACAAAAAAATCTATTGTATATAACTTACAGAAACAATGATAAAATAAATAGTAAAAAGTGTTATAAAAATAGTGAAACAAATGTCAGATATAATTGAAAATATTTTTTTCTTAATTACATCGAAGTGGTTTTAAAGGTAAAATAAATATAGTTTTAAGAGTATTGTGAACACAAAATATAAGGTTAGTTTATTTAATTAAATGTGAAATGTTTACAAAATACTTCAACAAAAATCTCGAGCATAATTTAATACAAAAATGAAAATAAGATATATATATATATATATATATATATATATATATATATATATATATATATATACTTGCATGGCCCAACAAAAGACAATGTAAAATAACCTGATAAAAAATAAGTAACAAAAATAAAATTAGATAACTTATAATAAAACAAACAGATTAAAATATCTATATCAACATAATAAAAATAGACACAGTTGCATTAATAATCTCAACAATCTTATAAGAAAATTTAGTCATCTGATGAAACTGATTTTTTTGTCTATTACACAAAACAAATTCAACAAAAAAATAATAATTTTTCTTTCAAAAAAAATTACGAAAGTAATATTCGATATATTAGTTAGAATAAAATCCTTTAAACTCAAAACAAATGATTAATCATAGGATGATATATTCGGTGCCTTGGCAGCCGTACTCTTCGTATACATTTGCGTTTAATGATATATACAAACTTAGACATTCAACACACAATTCATTCCCCTATTTTCCTCACAATTCATACTACACTATGACTTTCTTGCCTACACTAGCACATTATATGGTTTTCTCTTCATAACAATACAAGAAACATCAATCCGAAAACTAAAACAACACATATATTTATCAATATCCCCGCGCTTGCGCTGAGCTATGCCTCTAATATTTATAATGATTGGGTATTAGATCTAAAGAAACCGAATATTATATGACATAAAAGATATTCACAAATACTTGTTTATTATTATTTTAACCAGTTTTTTAAATACATAAGTTGGTAACAAAATAAAGACTATTATGCAAGTTGAATCAAAAATCTCAACCCATGAAAGTTTATATACTAGATTATTATTTCCTTTTAAACAAAAAAAAGATTCATTTTCTCAAGTTCAAATGACTATTTTTTCTTAAATGTATAATTATGGTGGTCACAAAAATTTCTATGTCTTTGTTTTAAATTTATATTCTGATATATTCCATGCATACAATTTGGTTCATATTGCATAGTCTTTGGAAATTTGATAAAGAAAAAAATTAAGATGGCAATTTTTTTTAATGGTTAAACAATAAATAACAACTTCAGTTAAATATGTATATGATTTTTGACTTTGAGTCTTGCTAAAAACCAAAAACATTCGGTTTAAGAACTGGTTACTCACTAAAACAAATAGTCCAGTTTGATATTAAATCCTGATTTTTTCAAATTCAAATTAAAAAATGCAAATCTTAAAAAAAAATTCATAAAAACCTTTATTGTTTTTAATAAATATTTTAATAAATTATTTTTCATTATATTTTATATTTTTTGAAGTTTTCATTTATTTCCATATCATTTTATCTTCAAACAATGATAAAAAGTCTTATAAAAAAATATATAGTTATACATATATATAGATATTTAACTTAAAATTAAATTAAATTTACAACACAGTTGAACCGGTGTGACCATTAACCTAACTGCAATGTCAAGTTAATGTTCGGTTTGGTATTCAAAACATTGATGGAAAGGATAAATTAATATCATCCAGTTTATAAATAAATTTAATAAATAAACATTATTCATAACAACAAAAATATATACAATCTTAAATTTATATAATATCATTTTAAATTTAAATAATTCTTTTTATATACTTAATTTTCAGATTTTGATAGTAATTATTTTATACCAACATTTTTAAGATAGAAAATATAAAACTACAGATTAAAATATCACAGTAATTATTATTTATTTATAACAAAAAAAAAATGAGGGTTCTATTAAAAAAACTAGAAAATCTATATTTTGTAAAAAAAAGTTTTCATTATTAGTATTACTTATGAAACTCTTAACTGCATTAACTACAATGATATGGTCAATCATTATCTTTTTCTATTTAATTTAACATTTTATTTCTTTTGTTTTTAATTATAAGTTTAATTATACATTTTATTATATATAAATAATAAGATTAGATTTTTTTAGGAGATTAGCCGCGCGTAGCACGGCCAAAAGATCTAGTATTACTAACAAACAAAGATAAATTTATGAAAAGCCATTACTGAATTAGTATTTGTTTATGCATATATCAACGAGATTCATTCATTAATACAATTAGCAAAAAAGTATTTCACCACCCAGCTTCCCATTTCTCTAGTAATAAGTCTTCACCAATAGCAGAGTTCCAAAGATAAAGGCCATCAGTTTTAGCGGTCCAAACACACTGTTTCCAACCGCATCTATGGAACAAGATTACATCATCCCAAAACACTTTCACGTTCATATGACCATCATCTTTACTCAAGTAGCACCAAAATAAAGTCGAGTGAAGCATATTTTCTCGAAAATTCCAAAAAATTCTTTCTCCCAGACGCAGATTTTGTTCGCCTAAGTCGTCATCTTTAGATTTACAATGGATGAAGAGAGTTTCACTGGTGATTAAACCGTTGACCACCGTGATTTGCCAGTCAGAAATCTTCGGGACTATGATATCTCTGGTGTTGGCGCTGCTTGCTAAGACACGATCATGACATGCTAAAAGAAGAGGAATATAAATGGCTAAGAGAAACTTTTTGATGTTGTTCATACTTTTATTTCTAATATTAATACTAAACATTTGTGAGATACTGTTTTTGTTGCTTTGGATTTATAGTCGAAGAGCGAAACGGTAATTGTCTAATTGACGTTTAGTTAACTTATGAACTCTGAAGTTATTGCATTGTATTAACGATTAAAGCAATTACGTGATCATTGACGGGTTAACTATCATTGAAGCTTAAAGGTCAGCCTTCTCTATGAAACAAAAAGTTAGCTTAAAATTGTGATTTTTGATCCAGTTAGTATCATCGAAATCTATAGGCGAACAAAATTGATTTATATAAATTATATAAATTAGGATGTCCAAGCGATAAGTCAAATGTTTATGCAATCATATCAAAAATAACTTATTTTCCTCAGGATTTCAGCATGGTGGGGTGTTCGTTTCTAAGAAAAATAATATTTCATGAGTCTCCTTCAGTTAACATATATTAGTGTCTTTTTATTTTGGTAAACGTTTGATTTATTATTTGTTATTTATAGTATAAAGTACCATTAACGTTTTACGTTACATTGAAGTGAAGTCTGAAGTGTTTAAAGAATACCTTTTCGAAAAATGATTTCAGTTTTCTTCTAAAAAACAAATTACCAAAACTTTAATCAATTTAATTAAGTCCAGAGTAGTTAACACGAATCCAAATATTCGAAGCCGTCTACGTAGTGAAAGGTTTCGCACTATTCAAGTTTATATAGAAAAACGAAAAACAAATCTAGACAAAAAGATCGAGATGACTTCATTAATTAAATAGCCTTCGCTCGGATATACTTTCTAATATGCTAAGCAAATTAAAATTATTTTAACTAAGATTTAATTTGGTTTAAATTTTTATTATTTATTATTATTGGATTTATTTTAATTAGGATACATGTACAAAGAATTCAGTAAACCTATAAATGATTGTGGATTCAATTCATAAATACAGTTATAATATTACTTAATTTGCCCAGTGAAACGGAATACGCACTCTTCCGTATTCACTTCGTCCTCATCTTTTGGTTTTGTGAAGATCACTGTAGCTGGTTCATACAGAAGTAGTACAACTAACATAACCGGACCGGTTGGATGTTCCCAATTGACATTCTTAAGCACACACTGACACACATATATATGTGTATAAACGATGATTTTTTCTGATACATACTTTTATATTATTTGACACTACTGTTTGCAATAGCCTTGGATATGATTGCTAGATGTAGAAGTTCCAAAGACTCTGATATAAAATAAAATGTAAATATAAAATCGTAATTCTGTAGAAAAGTTGTTTGGTGATTTACATTTCTCAGTCTCATCAGAAAAAGAAATACCCATGAGTTAATATTCACCTGCAACACAACGTGTTATAGACCAAGTTCCCAATCTTACACATTTTTTTTTTAAGAAGAGAAAAGAGTAAATGCACAAAACAACCTCGCAAATATTATTTTGAAAATTGAAATGCGACGTCAGTTCTGCCTAAGATTGACTATTTTTTTTTTGTCAGGTTCCCTTCTAATTCTAGCTTTGAACGTACTTATTTCGACTTTAATATGTTGTCACCTAACTATCCAAAAAACGAAAATTGTAGATCGATCGACTTAAGTGAAAGTGTTTTTTTTTTCTTGGAGAAACTAAAGGGTAATTGTTTTTACAAAAAACTTAAAGAGTAATTGTTCTTCGATAAGTATATCATTTCCACCCTATATAATTACTTTTTCCCTATAGTTTTACTTGTTACATCTGCTAAATCATGTTTTTAATTTCTTTTTAAATCATGTTTTTAATTGTGTATATTTTTTTCATACTTTCCTATCCAATTACTTGTTATACCTCTATTATATGTCATATAAAACGAAAATCCCAGTTCTGTAGATAAAGTTTTTATTTGATTTTTGTTTATGAACTTATTTTCTTTGTATTTTAGTTGAACCTCAATTAACTCAAGGTGCGTTCCAAACACATTTATATACAGAGAGGGCTTATATTATAAGTCTACAAATAGAGTTTATGATAAAAAAAATAGTCATAGATGTTGACATTATATAACTCATTAAGTGAAACACTCGATATTAAATTGAATTTGAAATTGGACCAAGCTGACACGACAAAGACACGAGTTTGATTTAAGTGTCGACACCATCACACCATAGTAACTTAAGACGCACGTCAAACAGCTAATGAAAATTCCAAAACAGAAAAAAGAGACATGATTATTATTGTTGCTCTGACATCATCTTAAGCTAGACCTAGCTCAAGGACCGTTACGAATCCTTAAACCAAAAGTAACAAACTCAACTACTCAAGGGAAATGAACTCCTCCGGTACTTCCTCCACCGACTCCGGAACCAACTCCACCACCTAGTCCACCGCCTATCCCGTTTCCTAAACCACCCGCGCCTATCCCATTTCCTAAGCCACCGCCTAAGCCTCCACCAAGCCCACCAAAACCAAGGTTACCACCGGGACCAGACACACCTCCACCGACGCCACCGAAAGGTATACCGTTGTCTCCGATGCCGGAGTACCCGCCACCGTATCCGAGGTAGTTCTTCTGGTCAGAGAGTCCTCCTGGGACGTTTCTTGCTCCAGAAGCAAAAGCCGAGGCTAGGGCAAGAACCAAGAAGAGAGTGAAAAAACATTTCGCCATAATCTTAAAGTGATTAAGAAGGGTAATATTGATAACAAGAAAGTAGACAAGATTTGAGTTATTATGTTTATTGCATTGCCGATAATCTGGGAGATATCATGGGTCCTTTTAAAGGCCCCGAGTGACCACATACAAAAAAAATGACCGGTGAAAATAGTTATTGCCAATGTAAATGCTTCATACCAAACGCTCTGATGTCAAATTTAAGTTTATTTACATTCTGAAAGTGACTGGTGGTGATGCGGTAAGTAACTAACGTTCCGCCACGTACGGCTGTGTAAGCTGTTGAATTTAAGTTGTTGAATTTGTTAAAATTTGGAACGATATATTTAGACGGTAAAATATATAAATTAGAGAATTTTGAATATTAAATTGCTTCATATATAAAGCGACCAAACATCTTTAAAACGATCCTGTCCTGGTTTCCTCGTTGCAAAGGAAGATGATTAATGCATACAAATTAATAAACTCCGATTGAAAATGATTTTCTTAAGAACAAGATAGTCACTATCTAATGATTTCGTTTTGTAGATCTGTTGTATTAGCTGTCCATGTTTAATATGGTGGCCAGGTGGTGTGTGTGAATTGTTGATAGAAATGACTTTTTGGTCAGTTGATACCATTGAACTAATTTTACTGCAAACATTTACACGAAGTTTGGTGCATTTAACAAAAACCGGTGGTGCATAATATATAGAGTTTGAATGTGATGATTGATCGAAGAAGGAAAATAATTGTAGGGTCTCCTGTTTAACAAAGAAGTGGTTCAAGTTTCTGAAGAAAAATATGATGTGTAGACTTTAGTTGAGAGAAACATGAAAGTTAACTAGATCATTTTCTTAAGTTAATTAAAACCATAATTAAGTTCAGCTACATGTAGTAAATGTATTTATTGTAGTTCGTTTATAGCTAACTAGCTAGCTTCAAAAGAGGCTTCTACAAATTTACGAATTTGCTTCTTGGTAGCTGTAACTAAATTTTTTATCCCTTATCGGAATTAAATCGGTAAATATGTGTATATAAATAGTTGTAATAATTTAAACACATGATTCATGGGTCACGAATAGTTTGAGCTCCCACTGTATAGACCCTACTGCAAAATATCTCAAGCAATGCATTATACTGCATTCATAACATAATAAGATACTCCACCGACGATATTCGAGAGTCTCGATTCCCAATCTCTTGATTTTTAAACAGTTTCATACTCTTTTAAAAACTGTTAAATTGTTTGGGATCCAGTTAGATTTTGTTCAAAAAAAGGTTTAACAATATTTAATGTCCATTGTTTTCGCGGACTCGATGTAAATAACTGCTAGCAATTTGTATATAACTGCTAGCACTTTGACGCATAAGCTTTAGTTTTGCAAACTTAATCTCGTTCATAATGAGAAACTGCATGGTTAGACGATTTTTTTTTTTATTTGTTAACTTTGATATTCTTGCATGCTATTTGCAAATTATATTGAATATCTTGGATCACAAGCAAGCAACACTGTTTTGCTAGACGAAAAAAACACTCTATTTATTGATAGCACAAGGTTTCTCATAAGTACTAATTAATAACAAAACAGCATGAAAATAAACATATATAGAAATTACACAAAGACATAAACATTACATCGGGGATAAAAACTTACTAACATGATAAAACTGATACAAGTATTAATAATTATGAACCCTTCGATCGATCTTTTGTTTATAGAGGAAAGAAAAACCGCTTTTATCTTCAAGGGTGAGTGAGACCACCGCAATCACTTCCGCCGCTAATTCCTCCCAAACCGCCAACTCCACCTAGACCGCCTGCACCGCCGAGTCCACCTACACCACCACCAAGACCTGAACCACCACCAATTCCTCCTATTCCACCACCGAGACCTGAACCACCGCCGAGACCACCTACACCTCCTAAACCACCAATTCCTCCTACTCCACCTACAGGCAGAACTCCGGCAACACCACCGACGCCACCAGCTACACCACCAAGACCTGCTCCGACACCACCAACACCACCAACTCCAGCAGCTCCACCGATGCCAGCAAACGCAACAAAGTTCTTTTGGTCGTCAAGGCCAGCTCCTACATTCTTGACCGGGGCCGGTCTTGTGGCAGTGACGGATTGAACCACCATAAGAGCAACGAGGAACACGGCTAAACACCTAGTTGCCATCTCTTGTTACTGTTTTTGTAACTTAACTTTATTGTGTTTTTTTTTGTAAGTAGAGAGTATGTAGTGAAGAATGCATGATGCATTGGGAGGTTTATATAGGAGAATGAACGGTTAAAACTAGGGCTATGAAAATGACACATGGAGATAAGTTGTAAATGAATGTTGGACCATCTCATCTCTTATTTGTTTGATGCACATCCCTCCACGTTTACAGTTACTATCTACTACTCTATATATATATATGTATATAGACAGTATATAGTTAGGGCTATAACGTATATGACAAATGGAGCAGATTAAGCTATAAAGTTCTTCTTTAACAAAAAATAAATAAGTAGTTGGTATTGGTTTTTCTTAGTGTCAAAATCTAGAGTTAGGTCATGTATATGGCACACTTCTAAGATGTTACCATCAGAATATTTTTCTAGCTAGCATTTGTTTCTATTGATATACCGATGTACTTTTGCATCATTACTTGTACGCAGGACTGCTTGTACGCAGATTAGACTTGACATTAAAGTGTTTTAATCAAATCTCATATAAACGTCCGTAGTTATAAAATCTGGATTCAAAATGTAGATATACTTAATGAAATTAATATGCATACAAAAAATGTAAAGGAAATGTGTATTAAAATAGTAGTTTATAAAGTTCTACATAATACAATGCAAGGGCAATAAATGTGAGCATGCAATGCATGTGGCTGCACTCAAAGCCCAAAGTTAGTCAAGAGCATGTAAATTCATTGAACTTACAGGTTAGAAGACAAAAGTATGAATATAGAAATTAACAAAAATAAATCGTAAAATTTTATTTGTTGAAAAGGATTATATAATACAAAAATTTAGTTAAACTAGTATATGAGTTAAATCAATATATGCAGGATCGTCTTAAATAAATTTTAGACCAAAAAGAAAATTAATGATATATTTATGATTTAATGACTTTTAAAAAAAAGTTAATAACTATGTTTGATGTTTCTGTAAAAATTATAAGTTTTAATCTAGTAATATATCTATTTTTTTAAAAAAATTATCATAATTTACTTATATATTTCTTAAAAAATTCTTAATTTTTCCTTATTTTCTTTTTATATATTTAGAGCCATGTTCGAACACTCCACTTATATATGTTATTAGACAGTCTGAATATATGACTAGTACAACTGAGTGACTCCACTTATATATGTTATTAGACAGCCTGAATATATGACTAGTACAACTGAGTGAAAACAAAAGTAATCAAACGAAACCTTTTTTTTGTGCATAACAAGATTTTGTAGATTTAGAAGGGTTTAAAACGAAAACGATAGTCTCATATTTTAAGCACACACAGCCTTGGATACGATATGGTCAAAATCTTGTTGAAAGAGTGAGGTAGCTAAGTAATAACTCAGAACTGAACTACACGTCTAGGCACCCAAACAAGTGGAATATAAATGGCCATTGAAAAATAAATGATCACGAGATTTCGATAAGTAGCAATAACTTTAGCCAACGCATAATATTAAGAATGACAGCCTGAAGCCAGTAAAATAGTTGTTCCTTGGGGCCTTAGTTGTTCAGTTACTTGACCTCTATAATGTTCTTTTGTCCTCACATGATAAGAGTTTCATATACAACAGTTTCTCTCTTCTCTTGGAACTATATTACTCATAAAGTCTACATGAAGCTTCAATATAATATTACTTTTTTTCATTTGGTTCGGTTCTATTTGATCTGTTTGGAGATAGTTAATGCTGTCAAATTGAAACCAAATTTTATATCTACTGAGTAAATTGGTCCTCCGTTCAAAATATATGAAGACACTTTTAAACATTATCCGATCAGTAGGACAAAGCTTACTACACAAACTTAATCATTATTTTTATTTTCTAACATGTATACTAATTATTAGTATTTGTTATATTGTGAAGGGTAATTATATGAAATTTTATTAACCATTACCTGAATTTATGAATAGTTTTTTTTGTTTGTAAACTGCATTCTTAAATTAAATATGAATAGTTTTCTTTTTCCCACAGTTAGATTCATCTGTGATATAACCATTATTCTGTTAATGATATAGAGATAACTACATATGCATATGCATAATGCTAGAACTACAGAAAGAAAACCTAGCCATTAATATAAAGATAAGATTTGGTAATAATACTTCACAAGAACTTGCTTTGGTTAATAAATACTTCACAAATAATTAAATTTACATGTATTTGTTAGCTAAATAGCCTAATATTTGACTGTTTAATATATTGGCGGTAAAATTTGTGGTTTGTTGTAACTAACTAAAGGTCTAAATTTCAAAAAGTTAGGTGAACAAGGACACAAGGGACCCCAATAAAATACAATCGATTCGGCCTTGTTAACTTGTAAATTTGGTTGCTGCTTATGACAAAAACGACGAAACAACACACGATGTTAGGAAAAGAGAGAATCGACTCACGTTATTACTAATGTACGTAACGTAACGCTTGATCTTATAATCTCTGACAAAATAAAAAAAAACACAGATCTTTATCCGATTAAGGGAGAAAACTAGAAACATTGTTAAGCTAAGCTAAATGGCAAAGAAGATTGGTGTGACCATGGAAGTAGGGAACGATGGTGTTGCTGTGATTATCATTTCGAATCCTCCTATTAACGCATTGGCCAGCTCAAGTATTATTTTAAGCTCTCAATACTTTTGAATCATTTACGATGTTATTTTGCTTTCTTTTTTCTTTAGCTGATTTTTTTGTGTGTGAGATTCTTCAGTTATCTTTGGGTTGATGGAAAAGTTTCAAGACGCAAAGCAGAGGAGTGATGTTAAGGCCATCGTCTTGACAGGTAGATTTCTTTCTACTGATCTTATTGTTGCTAAAAGATTTTGAATTGTCAAAGAAGATCTAGTTTGAAAGTTTAATCCCATTTTTTGGGTGTGTTTTAGTTTGCTTAATGTATTTGATCATTTCAGGTAATGGTGGAAGGTTCTCGGGGGGTTTTGACATCAATGTTATCCAGCAAATTCATAAGACTGGTCAAATAAGTTTCTTCTTTTCTTGTAAGTCTTTTTTTTTTTTTATAGTAAAACATGTTGTTGACAATTGTCGTTTCTTGGCAGGGGATATATCGCTTATACCTGATGTATCCATTGATCTTGTCTGCAACCTTATGGAAGGTATTTTTAGCTTAACCTTTTCTTGTTTTGTTTGAAGGTTATTATGTTTCTCAATATTAATACTGTTTTCTTTGTTATCAAAGACTCTAGGAAGCCGCTTGTTGCTGCAGTTGAAGGATTTGCTCTTGGTGGTGGTTTAATACTCGCTATGGTGAGAGCTTTTCATTTTTTATTTTATTTTAAAAAGTATCTTTTTGTTTGTTGTTGTTGTTGTGCTGATTATTGTATCACTCCTAACTCATTAGGCGTGTCATGCTCGAGTTGCTACCCCTAAAGCTCAGCTAAACGTACCAGAGCTGAAATTTGGATTTATTCCAGGTTATGGAGGTACTGATTTGTGTTTGTTCATCTTAGTCTTCTTTTAAGTAGACAACAAATACAGTATTATTCATCAATGGAGACCTTTCAATTGTGAATAAGAAAAGCTAATTTTCTCTATGAAGGAACGCAACGTCTTCCAAGATTAGTAGGTCTTGCAAAAGCAACTGATATAATCCTGGTATGAATGGTGTTACCAGGCATGCAAAAATCTGACAGAGCCGGACCTGAGCCATTGGAATGAAACATTTGAATTGAATCCCCTCAGATCTTAATATTTAAAAAAAAAACTTTTTTCACATACTGATTTTTAAAAAATAAATGCTTTCAACATATGTAATATGAAAATATATAAATTTCTGAAATTATATATACTACTTAAAGATAGATAATTTGTTTTTACCTCTTCATTTTTGTTTTCTTTACATAAATTTGTTTTGCTTATATATTTTAAAAATAGTTTTAATTTGTTTTGGTACAATTTTCTTTTTTGAATGGTCCCTAATAATGCCAGGTCCGGCTCTGCAATCTGGCTGAGAATTTTGTAACCTTTTGTAGCTTTCCAAGTCCATAACGTCAGAGGAAGGGCAGAAGCTTGGTCTCATTGATGCTTTGGTGCCGTCTGGAGATTTGTTGAGGACGTCCATAAAATGGGCTCTAGACATTGCAGATGGACGTAAACCCCTTTTACGTTCACTGCACAGGACCGATAAAATTGGTACTTTATCTGAAGCTCGTGCTATATTGAAGAATACAAGAGAGCTAGCCAAGAAGATAGCTCCAAACATGCCTCATCATCATGCTTGCATTGATGTGATTGAAGAAGGAATCGTCCATGGAGGATACAGTGGGGTTCTTAAGGTGATTTTTTCTCTTTAGGATTCGATTCTTTATGTTAGTAACTCCTTGATTCACTAACTATTCAGGAAGCAGAAGTTTTTAAGCAGTTAGTAATGTCAGATATTGCAAAGGCTCTTGTTCATGTTTACTTCGCACAACGTGCAACATCAAAGGTGAGATTAGCCAAACCACTTTCTTAGTCTTTTGCGCTGTATATCATAGTGGCACTCTGGTTTTTTGAGTGCAGAGTGAAGCTAAGGAGGCGTCGAGGTCTCGAATGTGATTGCACAAGAAGGGAGAGCTTAAAAATAATCTCAGCAAAGAAACGTTTGAGATAAGTTTACGGAGAGGTTGAAAGTGTTAGTCACTAAGTGAAAGTAAACCAGACTCTCTTGTTACTTCAAAGCAACAGTTACTAAGCTGTTTTGTTTTAAAACACTTGATTATTATGTTCTTAATAAAATGTTTGTAGTGACTACTCCATTCTCATGTATGCTCGAATGGTTTAGAAAATAATAGAATTATGTAGTGCTGATAAAGCTTCTTTGTTTTTGGTCAAAGAGAATAGAATTAATCTCATTTACATCTTCTGTAAAATTTGGGATTTATTATTATGTTACTCTCTAATGTTACATAAGCTGAAAGAGAACATCATAATGAGACATAATAAACAAGGGTGTTTCAGCAACTAAAACCATCAAAGGAAAAAGTAACAAAGACACAAAAAATACCATTGTTCAAAAACGCGGCTTAGGCGGCCGGAAAGTCGCCGGAAAAACGTGGTGCGGCTGGGAGCCGCCGCGATTTGACCTTAGGCGTTCACTTAATCGGAAAAGTTGAAGAAATCATCTTTTTGGTAGATTTAGAGGTCGAAACTGAATGTTTTCTGATAGATTTGTTATATTTAATTAAAACATAGTAGGTTAACAATTAAAACAATGGAAATCGCAAAAAGAAAAAAAAATGGTGGCTGTAGTTAGAACTGGAATTCGCAGATCTAATGTAGAAGACAAGGCTAATTTCGTAATTTCTATTTCATTTGACCTAAAAGCTGATAAAATAAAAAAAAACAGTTGGAAGTTTCGAACCCACGACCCGTGAGACATAAGTTAACACTCTGACCACTACACCATGCGCGAACATTGTTATTAATTCACATATTTAATATATTAGTGCATAGAAATGTATATAATGATATAAAAATTCCTCCCCGATTAATCCCCGTATAATATCCGATTAATTGATTAGGCGCTAGGCCCTCCTTGACCGCACGCGTAGCGCCTAGCGAATTCTCGAACATTGAAAAATACTAACAAGTAAACAGTAAAATAACTCGTGTAGTAAAGAAACAAAGCTCTCTCCAAAACCTGCAAGAGGCTTTTAAAGAGACACGAAAAATTATGGTAATATTGATTCAGAGGGTCATTTCTTCTCCGGTAAAACTGGAGGTTTATGAGGATGCTGAATGGTTGAGGTATTTGTTGGATCCCATTCTCGTTTGGGGATGTTGTAACTACTAACTAAAGGTCCAAATTTCAGTAAGTGTAGATGAACAAAAGCCACAAGGAATATAAATAATTGCATGTAATATAAATTTATAACACATGTATTTCCGCATAAAAAAAAATTGTGAACGGTTTATATAAAATTTTTTTTTTTTAATATTTAACTTTATAAGTGAATTTCTGTGAAATTGTACGGATTCCATACCTGTTAATGATATAGAGACAATTACATGTGCATAATGCTAGAATTACAGGTAGAAAACCTAGCCATTAAAATAAAGAGAAGATTTGGTTAATAATATTTCGCAAGAACTTGATTTATATATTATTTAACTTTACATGCACATTTTTTTTTTGGAGCAAAAGTATTTGTTAGCTAAATAGCCTAATATTTGACTGTTAAATATATATATATATATATATTGGCGGCAAATTTGTGGTTTGTTGTAACAAACTAAAGGGCCAGAAAATATTAATAAGTTAGGTGAACAAGGCCACAAGGGCCCCTAATAAAAAACATCGATTCGGCCTTGTTAAAGGGTTTAGGGAGGTTTGGTTGCTGCTTATGACAAAAACGACGAAACAAATGGTTTGGAAAGACAATCCACTCACGGTACTAATAGTGTACGTAACGCCTTGATCTTATCTGACAATATAAAAAAGCACAGATCTTTATCCGATTCAAGGGAGAAAAACTAGAAACTTTGTTAAGCTAAAATGGCGAAGAAGATTGGAGTGACGATGGAAGTTGGGAACGATGGTGTTGCTGTGATCACCATTTCGAATCCTCCTGTTAACTCTTTGGCCAGCCCAAGTATACTTTTAACAAGCTCTCAATACTTCTTTGATCATTTTCGATATGTTGATTTGCTTTTTTCTTTGTTGGGTGGAATTCTTCAGTTATTTCTGGGTTGAAGGAGAAGTTTCACGCTGCAAATCAAAGAAGTGATGTTAAGGCCATCGTCTTGACAGGTAGATTTCTTTCTCCTGTCTTAGGATTGTATTCAAATCATGACGTGTGATTAATCTCTATAGATCTTATTGTTGCTAAAGATTGTGAATTGAAAGTTTAATCCTTTTTTTGCTTAAGGTGCTTGAATGTGTTTGATCATTTCAGGGAATGGTGGAAGGTTCTCGGGTGGTTTCGACATCAATGTTTTCCAGCAAGTTCATAAGACTGGTAAAAGATGTTTCTTTTTCTTTTTTTTTTTGTAAGTATTACTGTGTGTCCTGTGTTGTTGAGAATATAGTTTCTTGGCAGGGGATATATCGCTTATGCCTGAGGTATCCATTGATCTTGTCTGCAACCTTATGGAAGGTATTTTAGCCTTAACTCTTTTGTTTTTTCTTTGTTTGAAGGTTAATATGTTTCTCAATAAGATTGCTTGCAAGTATTGATACTCTTTTCTGGTTATCAAAGACTCTAGGAAGCCCCTTGTTGCTGCAGTTGAAGGATTAGCTCTTGGTGGTGGTTTAGAACTTGCAATGGTGGGAGACTTTTCATGTTTATTTCCCCTTACTTGTATTTTTAATAGTATCTTTTTGTTTGTTGTTTCTGTTGTGTTGATTGTTGTATCACTCTTAATTCTTTAGGCATGTCATGCTCGAGTTGCTGCCCCGAAAGCTCAGCTAGGCTTACCAGAGCTTACACTTGGAGTTATTCCAGGTTTTGGAGGTACTGATTTGTTGGTCTTCTTTTAAGTAGACAAAGACAGTTTTCTTTATCAATGGAGACCTTTCAATAGTGAATTGTGAATAACCAAAGCTAATTTTCTCTATGAAGGAACGCAACGTCTTCCAAGATTAGTAGGTCTTGCAAAAGCAACTGATATGATTCTGGTATGGATGGCGTTTTTAACAGTTACCAACAGTTTTATTACCAAGCTTGCTTGGCTGAGAATTTTGTAACCTTTTCTAGCTTTCCAAGTCCATAACGTCAGAGGAAGGGCAGAAGCTTGGTCTCGTTGATGCTTTGGTGCCGTCTGGAGGTTTGTTGAGCACTTCCAGAAAATGGGCTCTAGACATTGCAGATGGACGTAAACCCCTTTTACGTTCACTGCACAGGACCGACAAAATTGGTTCTTTATCTGAAGCTCGAGCTATACTGAAGAATACAAGACAGCTAGCCAAGAAGATAGCTCCAAATATGCCTCAGCACCATGCTTGCATTGATGTGATTGAAGAAGGAATCGTCCATGGAGGATACAGTGGGGTTCTTAAGGTGATATTTTCCTTATGATTCGATGCTTACTGTAACTCTCTTGTACATTGGACATCTTAGTCTTTGCTAATAACTCCTTGATTCACTATGCAGGAAGCAGAAGTTTTCAAGCAATTAGTAATGTCAGACACTGCAAAGGCTCTTGTTCATGTTTTCTTTGCACAGCGTGCAACATCAAAGGTGATAATGGCCAAACCTTTTAATTCTCCTAAAGCTATAGTTTCTTTAAAATTAAATTACGCTGCGTTTGTTGCTCCTAGTACTTCTTGTTTCCACGTTCAATCTCCATTCTGAACATCTCGTAAAACGCTTTTCAGGTGCCTAATGTAACCGACGCTGGATTGAAACCGAGACCGATGAAAAAAGTTGCAGTTATTGGTGGAGGTCTGATGGGTTCTGGCATCGCTACCGCTCTCCTTCTAAGCAATACAAGAGTTGTGCTCAAAGAAGTAAATCCAGAATACCTTCAGAAAGGACTAAAATCAGTCGAAGGTTCTTATCTTATCCAGAACATATCCAGTTACTATGTAATATAAGCATATATTTTATTTGGGAGTATACAGCCCTAAGAAATTAGAAAGGTGTATAAACACCTCAAAATAGATTATATGGTTATTACTATTCTTGTTTACCATAGTTGCAATAATTTGAATTTTTTTTCTTGTGGCAGCAAATCTCAAAAGCTTAGTATCTAGGGGAAAGCTGACACAAGACAAAGCAGGAAAGGCCCTCTCGTTGCTAAAGGGGGTACTCGATTACGCAGAATTCAAAGATGTGGACATGGTCATAGAGGTATGCCTTACTGTTCTCTTTGGTTTCAAGTATATCCAAATCGAGTTAGTTCTAAGAGAGGGCCAACTAGTGTATAAATATTTCCTCTGACTATAAGGCGTTGCTCCTGGTATAATTTTTCAGGCAGTGATTGAAAACATTCAGCTAAAACAAAAGATATTCAAAGAAATCGAAGAGATCTGTCCACCACATTGTATTTTGGCGAGCAATACATCTACTATCGACCTCAACGTAATTGGGGAAAAAACTAACTCAAAAGATAGCATTGTTGGTGCACATTTCTTCAGGTGCACATCCAATGTCAAAGAGATCGTTACTCTTAGCGTGTTTTTAGTGTAACTAACAAAGGTTTGTCTGTTTTTACAGCCCGGCACATATTATGACCCTTCTCGAGATTGTTCGTACAGAGAATACTTCTGCTCAGGTGATTCTGGATCTCATGGCGCTTGGAAAGGCTATAAAGAAAGTTCCAGTGGTGGTTGGAAACTGCATAGGCTTTGCAGTGAACAGGACCTTCTTTCCGTATACACAAGGTGCTCATATGTTGGTCAATCTAGGTGTTGACTTGTTCAGAGTCGACAGCGTTATTACCTCTTTTGGCATGCCATTGGGTCCTCTCCAGTAATTCTCTCCTTCCTTATTTCGTTACCTACACTTTTTGTATGACTATCTTGGCAACTGAAGAAAGCTTTACTTATGTGCGATGGCTTACTTCTCAGGCTAGGTGATCTGGCTGGACACGGGATTGGAATGGCTGTTAAGGATATATATGCCAAGGCCTATGGTGACCGTATATTCAGGTCTCCATTGACCGAGCTTCTGCTTAAGAGCGGGAGAAATGGTATGTCATTTGCTCTTGCCTTTGCAAATTTCTCATCTCCCCACTTTTAACATTTTGCTGCTTCAGGCAAAATCAACGGGAGAGGATACTATATTTACGAGAAGGGAAGCAAACCCAAACCTGATCCATCAGTTCTTTCAGTAGTTGAGGAATCAAGGAAACTTACCAATATCATGCCCGGTGGGAAGGTAAGAAAAAGATGTCGTAAGAAGTATAATTATCATTACTATTTGGTATTAAAGCTAATGCAGCCTTGTTCTTTTGCAGCCTATATCAGTAACTGATAAAGAAATTGTAGAGATGATCTTGTTCCCTGTGGTCAACGAGGCCTGCCGTGTCCTAGATGAAGGAGTTGTGATCCGAGCCTCAGACTTGGACGTTGCTTCTGTCCTTGGAATGAGTTTTCCTTCTTACCGGTAAGAATTTTAATGCTTGTTAGGAAAAGTTTTATTCTGCTCTGATCTTTATTTGTTTGCACTTAACGTTGCAGTATCCATATTTTCATCTTGTTGAGTCTCTTCTAGTTATTTGCTAACAAGTCAATATCAACAAGCCTTTTCCTTTATTTTTGTCTGTTAATAAAAAGTTGATGATCATTTCCTTTTCTTTTTCCTTGTTGCAGTGGGGGAATTGTTTTCTGGGCAGACACGGTTGGACCTAAGTACATATATGAAAGGCTCAAAAGATTGTCCGAGACTTATGGCGGCTTTTTCAAACCGTCAAGGTACCTGGAGGAAAGGGCAATGAATGGAATGCTTCTGGTAAGTCTCTCTCAACTTTCTCTTACATTTTATGATATCACAAGAGAGCAGTCCCAACTAAGCTCCTCATATTTAGACGGATAAGGTTGCAAATAAGACAATAGATGATCATGTAGTATGAATGCAGTACTAGTCGGCTATCATCAATAATGGAACTCTGGTTTTTGACTGCAGAGTGAACCTAAGGCTTCGAGATCTCGAATGTGAATGGCACAAGAAGGGAGAGCTTAAAAATATTCTCAGCAAAGAAACGTTTGAAATAAGTTTACGGAGAGGTTGAAAGTGTTAGTCAATAAACTGAAAATAAACCAGTCTCTCTTGTTACTTCAAAGCAACAGTTACTAAGCTGTTTTGTTTTAAACACTTGATTATTATGTTCTTAATAAAATATTTGTAGTGACTACTCCTTTCTCATGTATGCTCGAATAGTTTAGAAAATAATGGAATTATGCAGGGCTGACTTTGTTTTCGGTCAAAGAGAATAAATCTCATTTACATTTTCTGTAAAATTGGGGATTTATTATTATGTTACTCTCTAATGTTACATAAGTTGAAAGAGAACATCATAATGAGACATAATAAACAAGAGTGTTTCAGCAACTAAAACCATCAAAGAAAAAGTAACAAAGACACAAAAAATACTAACAAGTAAATAGTAAAATAACTCGTGTAGTAAAGAAACAAAGCTCTCTCCAAAACCTGCAAGAGGCTTTTAAAGAGACACGAAAAATTATGGTAATATTACCTTGTAAAATGAGGCGGTGGTGAGGTAGATCTCAGCTTGTTGTTTATGTTCTCTCTGGTAAGTTATTGTGGTCCTAGGTAGAGTATACTTTATTGATTCAGAGGGTCTTTCTTCTCCGGTAAAGTTGGAGGTTTATGAAGATGCTGAGTGGTTGAGGTATTAGTTGTGGTCGTCGGCTGCAACAGCTGTGGTTTGCTGAGTGTAGTAGGTTGAGAAGTGGTTCGTGAAGCTCCATTCACAATTGGTGGTATCTGCTGAATCCCATTCTCTGTTTTCACAGTTGCTGTTGCGGTTGGGGGTGACTGTATATGCCTTCTTGCTAAATATGAACACTTTGCTTCTGCAAAACCAACAAACTTAACTAGCATTAGAGAAGAAACTTTCTCCATGAGTTGTGTGTGAAGGACTAGAAGAAACAAACAACAGTACCTTTTATTTCTGCGTAAGAGATAAGTCGACTTAGGCAATCTCTGAATTTGGTTAACACCACTCTCTCCTGCTCTGCGTAATTCTCTGACTTCCCCTGTGAGTCTGTTCCGCAGCCACCGGGGTCCACTGAACCATTAGGTTCAGCTGCTGCTACCATGAACATAGTGTCCTGTTCATCACACATCAAAGCCATAGTTGCTGGAGACAGTGGCTTTCCTTTAGAGGCATCGGCGCCATCTGAGTTGGCACCCTCTTGTCCAGACTTATCAGCTTGGTTTTCATCAGCTGCAACCATCTCAACATCACCAGCATCTTTAATCTCTTGGGAGTTATCTTGTGCAGACGAAGCTTCTGTTTCATTTCTTTTATCTAAGAAAAAAAATAAAGGAAGATCAATGAATAACAACACACACAGAGCTGAAACGTCAGCAATAAAGAGTCTTTCACTCAAAGTTTAACCTGTTAATGTCTTTGCTGCTTCTCCGGCTACAGCGACTAAAACAGAGCAAAGCGCTTTCACATCCTGAGGTTGGATTATATCTGCTAAGAGAGACCTTCAAAAATATACAACATAAACTTCAGTTTTATGCAGCTCTTTGGACCAACTATATAACTTGTGAACACCAGATATTTCACCTATATACAAACTTTGATGGAGCTGCCGATGAATTGCCACCAGGCCGAGAAACAATTCCTGGAGATGTACCTGAGGTTGGGCCACTAGTTCTTCCATTATTTGCCTAAAATCCAATAACAAGATTGCAATTCATTAAGCAAGGCTTTAAAAAGGGATATTTTCAGTTCCATAAATGGATATCAAAAAGCCTATATATACTAAATTGGGAACTTGCAAACCTGTTGGAACTGGCCAAGTCGATGAGCAGATAAATCTTTGTTTGCTTGGTTGAAAGAAATATCATGACCTTTCCTTCTCTTAGGTGCTGGAGAAGGAGCAAAGCCAGATGAACCAACAGCTCCAGTAATGGCTGCATTTGCTGCTTGTTGGAGATAAGCCATGTTGTTGGCATGCTCACCGTGAAACAGAGCTTGTCTCTCCTCACTTCCGTCAAAGTTTTTGCAATCCAAGCATTTGCAGTTCTCGGAACAAAGAATGTTTGCTTGAAAGCACTCGCAATACTTCTTAAGGCATCCTGATTTCTTGCAGTGACATCCTTTGTTATGTTTCCCTAACAACACAACTTCACCAATCTCCTCCTGCGAAAGATAAATCAACAGTTTAAGCATCTCACTATACCTTAGAAGCTTAAAGGATGTAAATGATTTTTCATCTGATAATCCTCAAACCACGTACCCTTTTATCCCTAACACCATGTGGACTGCTAGCAATTTTAGGCCTGAAGGCATTTGGATTCCGCTCCAGAGTTGCTTCCACAGCTTCTCGTCTTGCAGGTTCATTGTCAACGTTGTTGAAACAATTGACACAGTTACAACCATCACAGTATGTTCCGGATGCAAAGCATTCACAGTACCTGAAACGACACAGCAGAGTGTAAGTTAATAGAGGTTCAAAAGTAAAGCCGAAGCAATTCACAAAATTCACATTTAAGGACAGATAAAAGGGAAAGCAATCAACTTAATCACAAAAAAACTACATAACAATTTTTCTAGTAGAGATGAATGGGAAGTAGACTCACAGTTTCAAGCAGCGAGAGTGTTTACAGTTACACTGCTTCTTCTTTTGAGGAGTTCCATCTCTACCTTCCACAATAGGCCTTGGTCTAGACTTTGGAGATTCCGGCTTTCTGCTCAAAAGGCAAAATAAAAATAAAGAAAAAAGTTGAAAATTCAAAAATCTATGAGGTAAATATCAAAGGTGAACAAAAGTGTTCTAAGAAAGCTTTGGATATGAACAACCAAAGCTTCAAAATTTTGACGATTTAAAACCATATTCAACATTTTACACCAAACTTCTACAAATCCAACCACTAAAAGTTTTGATTTTTGTTTCACAAAAATAAATCAAAACTTCAGCAAATCCAATCACCAAAATTTTGAATTTTTCTTCAATAATTTTTTTTGAAAAAGTAAGCAAAGGACTCAATTAGATAAAAAAACTTACGGAAGCCTAATCGGCGGGTTAAGGATTTGTGACTGTGACGGCGGATTAGGCGTCGCAACTTGTACCGTCGGTCGCACAACCGGATGAAGCCGCGACGTCGTCATCATCATCGGTGAAGAAACAGAGGGAGTGACAACAACAGTCTTAGCCTCCGTGGCAACAACATCAGTAGAAGCCGCCGGTTTAGACAGTGAACCACCAGTGAAGTCAAGTTGCCTCGCTGGCGTCTTCGCGGGAAAACCAGACTCATCAGTTGTTACATCATCCCTTTTTGGCGGGAATTCTCCTCCTCCTCCTCCTCCTCCGCCGCCTTCACCCATCTCCAAAAAAAAATTCGAATCTCCACAAAGTTTCCTTTTTTCTATCTTCCTCAAAAAGGGGAAAATTCACACAGATCAGCTCGAATTAGAGAAACCCCAGATCCGTGTTCCCCCACGACGGAGCGCGGAAAAAAGAATCAGAACCGATTCGGCGGCTGGTAAAGCTCACGACTTTTGAATTTGAATTTGATCCGAGGGAGAAAGTTATAAGCTTTAGAGAGAGAGGGATTGGGGAGAATTAGGGTTTTAGCTCACGAAGACGATGACGAAGCAGAAGAAGAAGGAGAAACCCTTAAGGAGGATAGTTTCGGTTTTGTTCTTCTTCTTCTTACACACAGCATCTCTCCTCCCTCTTTCTAACATGTTTTGAAATTTCAATTTTCTTAAATTTTATTCCCACGGTTAGATTTGCGTGAGGTTCTGATCGTGCGGTTGTCGTTGAGTATAGTGATCCAACGATTTGAATTCATAAAAGCTTTAAGTTTTGTCGTCTTTCCACCGTTCGATCGCCTCTGTATTATAATTATCTAAAAGACCTTTAAAATGTGCGTGTTTTAGATACCTACCAATTGTAAACCGACACGTAAACAGACTTACTCGACACTCTCACCTTCGAGTTTTGGAAGTTGGAAAAATAAGCGTATTTCGATTTCCGCCTCGGAACTTTCCTTTTTTTGCAGAAAGAGCACAAAATTTCGCTAAACATTCGAATTTAGAACGAAAGAATCTAAGGTGTAGTACAAAGGTAGGTTTGATTTTTTGAGGGAAAATTTTTCAACTGTCTAAAACCATGTTTCCCCAAGACATTACACTGTTCTGTTTCTGTATCAGTAACCGTTTCTCATCCTGTCTCTGCCGCCACCACGTTGATCGTCTCTCCCTCCTCTTTCAAGGTAACTATCACGGCGGTAATCTCTGAGAGGTGGTGGAGGGCCTCTGATTGGCGGTGGTGGGTTGTCTCTCAATGGCGGCGATCTGCTCCTCTCTCTTGAATGTAGTCCCCATCTGCCACCACGAGGTGGACTGAGAGGTGGTCGTCTCTCATAGTGAGGTTCCGGGATCCAGTCAGAAGCTAATCTTCTGTTAGGAGGATACTCAAGGTCTGCGTAACGCAGACGGTCTCCTTCTCTGTCTCTGTCTCTCCATGTGGGATGGTCAAGTCTTGGTGGAGGATAGTCTCTAGGGTAGCCACGTGGAGGAGACCTGTAGCCATTAAACTCTCTTCTTGGGGAAAGATTCATGGGAGGAGGAGGAGGAGGAAGAAGACGAGGCGGTGGAGGACTATTAGCAGGTGCATAGCGACGCCTCTTGCATTTGAAACACACTTCTCGCCTCGCAAAGTTTAAGTTTCTGCATCTGTAAGTCCATAACCAAAAAAGGCATATACAAATGAAATCTATAAAAACATCTGTTCAAGGGTTCTAATTTCATAGCCAAGGATACTTACAATGGATCTAGACAGTACCAATCTCCATCTCTTGGTTGCACTTTTAAGTTATTGTTGTTTCTGCCCATGCCATCGGTTTTAAAAGGGCGGCCATGAGCAGGTTCAGGCACATCAAAACGACGAGCACCAACTCTAGAATGGGGTGGTGAATAGTCTCTGTATCTCCCAGATGATTCTCTTCTACTGCTGAAATCTCGGCCACCACGAGGTGGAGCACCTGAATGATTAAGATCCGAGCCGTGTCGGTGGTGATCTTCATATGGACGACGGGGTGGTGGTGAACTAGAACTTGCACGAGTCCTATGTCCTACACACAGAAAAAAAAAAAGTGCTGGCAATGTGAAAATGACAAGGCCGGTGGTGCCTCAATAGCATTCTTTGATCGTCAAGCATCAGTGTATACACTAAACAAACCCATACAAGAGTAAAAGGCTATGTTGTTATGCATCTGTTAAAACCTCAAGAAAACGTTATAAGTCTAACTGAACTCTTAGCTATACAATCAATACAGGACTTGTAGCTCTACTGTCAACACAGGCATATTAACTGAATCTATTGACACTAACGATTCTTACTACACGACATAAGTCTCTGCAGACAAAATCCTGCCTAGTTCCTAAAAATTCAGAAATCGAAAACTATAGAGAACTCTGATTGTGGAAGAGATACGAACCATTGTCACTCTTATGACGATCCGAGCGGGCGGCAAATGAGGGCCGGTCACGAGAGTCGTCTCCGGCGGCGGCGGCGTGGCGGTCGCCTTCTCCGTCGTTGCTACCGGATGGACGGACGACGAGGCTGCTGATGTGAGGAGGAGGGTGATGATGCTGCGGCGGCGTCTGATCTCTTTCCATTTTTCTCTCCGATTCTCAAGGCTGAAATCTCGATGTCCGTTTCACCCCCAAAATTAAACCCTAAGGGTGAGTGTGTGCGCGATAGAAACTGGAAACTTTCATTAATTTATCTTTTGGCCACTCAGCTTTAGTTTAAATTCGAAACTAATCCCTTAATTTTATTATTTGACATTATAGTCCGATAGACTAAATACTGATGCTTAACGTGTTATTACGAGATGAATGCAGATACTTGTTTTAGTACAACGACTGAATCTGGAACTAAGAATTTTATCATGTAATTTGGTTAATAGATAAGCAAACACTCCAGGACAAGAAGGATTTGTGGCCATATTATTATCATTCATTGAGAACCATCATCAACTTATGGTGACCATGAAAAGAGGAAGTTATTACACAAGTTGATATGACAAGTACAAAAAATGGATAAACAGATAATACAAAAGCTTTTATATAGCTTTTTAGCTGTATAGCTGAAGGGCAAACACCAACTTTCTCATTGTAAATGTAATTGTTTTTTTCTATTCCAGAGAGACAAATACACAACACAATCTTTGACACAGCAGACGGATTCAGGGAAGTCTGCTTATCAAGTTTTTCAATCATGGAGCCAGGCCAAATGTAATCCATCTGAGCAAACATCAAAGATAAACACAAAACCGAGATCAATGAGAGACACAAGTCGCCAAAAAAAAAAAGAGTTATGACAGACGAAAGCAGCAAATGATTCCACAAGTAACTTAGAAAATACTGCAACCATTGATACTCAAACAAAAAGTTAACAATTTTCTTAGCGGTTGTTGAAACTTGGCTACGCCTAGTAGTATTAAGACCTGTGACTGCGTACCTTAAATGCCATTCAAGTTCAGGGGAATTCTATTGTAAATCCACTACTTGTAGGCTTCACATTCACTGGACCAAAGCCGTCAAAATCTGAATCTGAATCCATATCTCTGTGGTCATTCCACATTCTAGGAGAATCCTCATCATCTGGCCCACTCATTGCCGGAGGCACATAGAGCTCTGAAACTGGAACAGGAAGAGGCTCATCCTTAAAATATTTGTCATTCAACAACTCCATAGCAGTAGCTCTACTAGCTGGATCGTAACAGATGAGCTTCTTGAGCAGCGCTATCACATCTCCTGAATGGTTTGGAAGACATCCTTCTATACCAAGAGGAGACTCTACATTAGCAAACGAGATAGACTTGTAGTCTGGAAGATCAACACAGCCAGCCCAAACCTCTTCGTTTAAATTCCCCAGCACGCTGGTCACTCTACTAATCTGATCAATATCCGAAACTCCTGGAAACAAAGGCTCAAGAGACAAGAGTTCCGCAAACACACAACCAAGCGACCACAGATCGATCTCCAACCCATACATTGTAGATCCATACAACAGTTCCGGTGGCCTAAACCATCTAGTTCCTACACAAGACGTCATCAAACCTTCTCCACCATCCAATCCCTCATCAGCATCATAAGCAAAAGAGTTCGTCCCGAAATCATCATCCATTTCACTAACGGTACACGTCGCAAGGCAAGACGCGTCTCCATCATACACGTTAGAGTCCTTATCAATATTATCATCTCTCACAACTTGCTTAGCCTTGAGCTCTTCCACCTGTCGAAAGTACTCCTCTTTACTCAACACTTCATGTTCCTCACCATCGAGCCCTTTCTGAGACGAGTTCACATAATCAGGAATCACTTCTGGTGGCTCTTCTTCCTGTTGATTCTCCTCTGAAGCGACGACATCAGGCTCCATTAGTATCCTAGCCTGTAAACAAACCAAAGCAGCCAAACAAACTTTATAACAAACTTTATTCAAAGATCCAAACTTTACAAGAACGGTAAAATAATCAATGGAAATTGCACCCAATGACTAACAAAAACACCATAATTTACTAACTAACTAAAACTACACTCACTCACTCCTCTTCTTTCTTCCTATCTCTCTCTACTCTCTTTCTAAAAAAAACTAATTTTTCTTTTTATCTTAGTTACTTCACAAATAAGCCCTAAAATCAAAGGTCTAACAAACATCATAAACTCTAGTTATCACATAGAAGAGACACTAACTTGATTCAAAGATCGAAACTTTACAAGTTCAAATCAAAATCTGACAAACAGATTTTGATTAAAAGATCTAAAATTTAAAATTCACCTGACCAAAATCAGCAAGCTTAAGCACTCCATCATCACCAACCAACATATTCCCAGGCTTCAAATCTCTATGAACAATCAAACTCCTATGACAAGCATCAACTCCATCCAGAATCTGAACCATCCATCTCTTAATCTCCCCAACCCTAAACCCTTCTTCCCCTTTCTTCTTCCTCCTCTTAGCATCTCGGATCACCGCCGCCAGATCCGACCTGAGAAACTCGAGGACGATCACTGCGTTCTCTTCCTCACGCCAGAAGTACTCGTGCATAACGACGACGTTTGGAGATCCATGGAGGATCGAGAGGGCGTCGATCTCTCGGAAGGCGGATTGGTAATCGAAGATCTCCTTGAGAGCGACGATGAGACCGTCGGAGATGCGACGAGCGCGGTAGACGTCGGCGTAGGCTCCGGATCCGACTCGCTCGAAGATCTCGTATTTGGCGATTATCTCCGGGCGGGTGTGGATGCTCCAGCTGCTCGCCGGTTGTTTTTCCATTGGGACGGTGTCGTTTTCGAACAGATCCTTCTTCCCGGTTTGACGATGATAGTTGATAGCACATAACGCTAACGGATTTACCCAGAGTTGTAATTACGGAAATACCCTTTGTTACTGTTTTTTTTTTTAAATTAATTTACTGTCTGTTTTGTCGACAAAAAAATACATATTTACTGTCTGTTGTTTTAGGTATTTTGCCAAAAAAAAAAAAAACTATTCTTGGGTGCAATCTGTTATGCTACTATGTGTTTAGTCAAGAACATTAGTTTAAGGAGATGGAGAATTTGATTTTTCGGATTGAGAAAACCACTGATTTGATATTGGTTTAGTCCGGTTTTAGTGTCTACCCTTTGTTTAACAAGCATTGGCTTTCAAAATGATGTAAAAACATAGTTAACAACCAATACAAGAATATTACTGGAATCAGCAAAAGTCTACACAACAACAAAAAAAACAGAGAAAGGGAACTTCTTCACATACAAATAAGAGAACCAACAGTTCCCTCATCTTTCAACCTACAACAACACCAATAAACCAACCAGAGAGAGAGAGAGAATTTTGTTGAGATTTTTGTCACTTGAAAAGTTATGTCCTAAGCTGTGGTGCAGCCTCCACAGACAATGCTCCTGCAAAATTTAACACTCTTCTTGTTTGTAAGCTTTTTTTGCAAACTCTTTACAGAGTGAAAGACAAAGAAGAAGAAGAGACAATATATAAAAAGAGCTTACGCAAAGGAGCAACCGGATCTTCTGTGTTTCTTTTTACTCATAGTGGCCTCTTTCCTCCTTGGTGGCTGAAGAACCACTTTGATCGCTGTGTCAAACACTGCTTTCACATTCTACAATAGAGAGAGAGAGACACCAATGCAAAAAAAGCTCTCATCAAAAAAGATTCTGACATTGAGTTTTGTTTGTGAATAGAAACTTGACTTTTTACCTGTTGAGTCTTGGAACTACACTCGATGTAAGCAGCTGCACCGATTTGCTTCCTCAATTCCTCTCCCTGTTTTCACACAAAGTCCATAAGCTTAAGAAAGCTTCCATACATGTCTTAAGATTCATTTCATTAACAAATATACATACCTGAGTAGAGGTAATGACGTTGGTATGATCAGCGAGGTATCCCTTGTCATCACGGAGATCTAAGATAACACCAACACAAAGTAATTAATGTATCAGCAAAAAGAATAAATTTTTTAAATTTTTTTTTGCAAAAACAACACAAACATGAACTTACCAAGCTTTGTACCAACAAGTACTATAGGAACATTTGGCGCAAACCGACGAAGTTCAGGCATCCACTGTCCAAAACACACAAAAACAATCAGATTCAAACACACAAAATTACCAGTCCAACACATATTACAAAATACAAGGAGAAATAAATAAATAAAAAAACTATACTAACCTTCTTAAGTACATTCTCGTAGCTGGCCTTGCTGATAAGAGAAAAGGCTAAGACGAAGATATCAGCTCCTCTGTAACTCAATGGCCTCAACCTACTGTAATCTTCTTGACCTAAACAACAACAACAGTTTCTGTGAGATTATAAAAGGGGGAAAGACTCAATGCAATGTCAATTCTCTGGCTTAATGGTTTACCTGCAGTGTCCCATAGACCAAGATTCACGATTTGACCATCCACGGAGACATTGGCACTGAAGTTGTCGAACACAGTCGGTATATAATCCTGACCAACAATGAACAAAACAACATGAATCATGAGAAAACAGGAGAATATAACCCTACAAATACACCTAATCTCTACCTAAAGAGTTTAAAACATTGAGAGAAAGAACAACAACAGATCTTCTATAAACTAAACCGATAAGATGAAATCTCTTAAACCCCAGTAAAGAAAAACTAAAGCTTGACAATGGAAAATGAAAAGGAAATGAGAACACTCACAGTGGGAAACTTGTTGCTAGTGTAACAGATAAGCATACATGTCTTCCCCACAGCTCCGTCTCCGACAGTAACACATTTAATGAACTTTGAAGCACTCATTGTCTCTTTTTAGTAATGAAACAGAATTGAATTCTAGAAGAAATTATAGAAGAAGAGTGCTGGAGAAAGTGTAGAGATAAGCTTTCAAGTGTGTGAATTTCTATATATCTTCTCAAAGAAACAAGAGAGAAATGAGTGTTTGTAGAGAGAGAGAGAGAGAGTAAATATGTCGGATTCTCAGGTTTCGTCCAAGTCAAAAGCCTCAAAAGGGTGAAGCTTTATTGTCCCTCTCATTAAATTTCAAAAATGAAAACTACTACTAAAAAAAAAAAAAAAATTACTTAAAAATGGATTTGAATTTACTCTTTCGTTGGTCTCTATCTTTTCAATCTAAAAGTCTGGTATTTTCAACTGTTGAGTTGAAACATGTGTATCGACCGTTGTGAGATACGACACATTTACGACTTTTGTCCACTTGTTGGTGTCCAGCTAAGTGTTTTTTCTTTTCTCTCTCGGGAGTTTCACGTTTCTTCTCATGCACGAGTTTCTCTTGAGCCACTTCCAATGATTTTTTATATTTGAGCCAGTAATTAATCAAAATTTATTTTATCTTTTTAAACTAGTGGAGTTTTTGACTAAAATAATGAAAAATAACACTCTTTTAGTCTTTTTATACGCAATAGTACATTCAAACTCGAATTTTCTTGGAGGCGTCAAATACGTGGGCCAGACTTGAATGATGTGTTTGGATTGTTATACACTTGGATGTAATTCATAAGGTTTAGTAATGTGAAGAAGAAAGAAAGTAATGTGAGCCGTAAATTATGGCCCATAATGACACGTGTCTATAGGATCATAAACAACAAGCTCATTCATATACATGTAGCAATGGTTGGAGATAACATAACCAGTGCTGGTATTTATTTTGTTTAACAGTTATGTGGACAAGCAAACTTCAATTACTGAAATATGTTTTGTTGAGTTATGGACTAACACAAACAAACACAAGTTCGGGCTTGTTCAGACACACGAATCTTAGAGATAAGCAAAGCATGAAACAAGTTTTGGAAAATAACAAATGAACCGAGTTGGTTCCTCTCTACTCATCATCCTCATCGTCTTCAATCTCATCAAACTCTGAATCATTCCCAGACTCACTCTCCGAATCACTCAGCACATACTTCATCTCCTTCCTGTTTGCTCTTTTTGGCCTCGATGAGTTTTCAGCAGCCGCCACAGTCTCACTACTCTCCTCCTCTGCTTCCTTATTAGCCAACCTCCCCAACACAGAACTACTCTTCTTGTTGAACGGTGAAGATCTCATCTTCCTCACTTTCTTCTCCGGTGACACGGTAACAAGCTCCGCAGCTGGCTGCTTCTTGCTCGCCGCTGGTCCACGCTTCCTGGGAGCTGCCGGTGGTTTCACAGCTTTACTCGCCGCCGCTGCAGGTTTTCTTCCTCCTTTTGCTGGTGCAGCAACTTCAACCACCACGTCGTCATCATCGTCATCCAAAGATATTGCCGCTTCTGTTTAGAAACAAGAACAAGATTAACCATTCAATTCTCTGGTTTGTTTTTAAAAGTGCTACTAAAAACTTACTGCTTGGATTCTCAGAGGTGGAGCCGAGATTGTATTGAGCAAGCCTTTCTGCTAGACCCATCATCTCATCATCATCATCATCAGCTGGAGCAGCAGCAGCAGGCGCCTTCTTTTTGGCTCCTTGCCTACCTTTCGGCTTAGCCATTTCCACTACGCTGTCACCTTCACCAATCAATAAAAAGTTTTCCAAATATATATATGTCAGTCAGATCCATAAAATAAAATGCTTCCAAATATGATGATGATTCACTCAGTATAGTACAGGACATACCTATCATCTCATCATCATCCTCAGCCTTTACATTAGCTGGAGCAGCAGCAGCAGACGCATTCTTTTTGGCTACTTGCCTACCTTTCGGCTTGGGCACTTCCACTACGCTGTCACCTTCACCAATCAATAAAAAGTTTTCCAAATATATATATATATATATGTCAGTCAGATCCATAAAATAAAATAATTCCAAATATGATGATGATGATTCACTCAGTATATAGTACAGGACATACCTATCTCCATTGCAGAACTGGAAGCCGCCTTTGTTGTTTTCTTTGGTGGCTGTTTCCTTGGCGCTGCTGCTTTACCACCCTTTAGTGGTACTCCAGCCTTTGCCCTGAGCTTCTTTTGTGCTACCTCTCTCTCTTTTTCGGCTTCAGCATCTAATTGATCAAGTTTCTGGAAAAAGGAATAAACGAATAAGTGGCGATTCATAGTTATGTGTAAAAGCATTATAGAGGTTCAGGGTAGTGGATGCTTACATCAAGTTCTGCATCAAGAGACTCTAGGTCTCTGAGCCAGAGAGATCTTGGTGTGGACTTCTTCATGTCTTCAACTGCTTGCTCCGTTTTATCTCTTTCCCCACATAACTCCTGCACTTTCTCTAGAGTCAACGTAGCTATAGCTAGTGACAACAGGTAGTCATATTCTGAACCAGATATAAACGTCGAGCGTGAATTAGGCACATCTGGGCTTTCTTGAGATTCTTCTTCAGCTGATTCCGTTTCACCAGCTGATTCGACAGGCTTGGCCTTCTTGGGAAATGGTGTGAACCCTTTCTGTCTCAACTCCTGGACAAGATCAGCCTTCTTCCTGTTGTTCACTATGATTTCTCCTCTGACAACTCCAAGAATAAACTTCACTTTGTTATCTAGTTTCAAGAGCTCAAGTTCCAGATTCTCCAGGATAACTTTCTGCATACATAAACAGACAGTTAACGTTAAGACATCCTAGCTGAAAACCTTTAAAGACCGAATTGGATGTACACACCTTTCTCTTCTCATAATATTGGAGCCTGAGTTCGAAGAACTCTTCAATGACTGCAGCAAGGTCGGAATACATGTTAGTATACCTTATGACCAAGAAAAACAGATTAAACAAATTGGATCTCATTCTTACTTTGTTCTGGAGTTGTGTATCTCCTAATCAAATTGTTTTCATCAAATAGATGCATATTTGTTGTAGCGATTGTCGTGGTAAGTTTGAGTAACTTCAAAATGCCCTCTTTCCGAGCCATTCTCATGTTCTCCTCGCTAAGATGAAGCTCAAAATCCACAGACCTATCATCATTGTACGAGTTAACGCTCTGCATAAAAAAGAAGAATGAGTTAATAAGAAGCATCTAAGAATATAATCACTTTCTTATTTTACGCTTTCTACCTGAAAAAAGGGGGTGTTATCTTTTGTCTTCAAAGCCTCCAGGAACTGCTTATAATCTTCGGTCCACCTTCTGATTGGAAGCTCCGTAATACGGATAGTTGTTTCGTCAATCTCCTCGTATACACCAGTGACTGTGTAGGAAAACCCGCCTTCCCTGAACGCAGTTTTCTCAATAGTTCCTTTAAAATTCCTATACCAAGGATCCATAGCCACCATACTTTCACCACTAAGCAGACGCCTTACGTTGGCGACGATATCTCTTGGGTTATAGTTAGGTATGAAAGTACTCCACCCGGTTCCAATTCCTTCACAACCATTGACAAGCACAGTTGGAATGATGGGCATGTACCTAACACGGAATAACATATCAAATTAGTCTCCGTAAAAAAAAAAAGAAAACAAAAACGACTGTGTCAAATAAATGAGCAACGAATTACCAAGTTGGCTCTATCTTCTGCCCATCTTCATTCAAGTAATTAAGGAGCACATCGTCATCCTTGGGAAACAAGACCCTTGTTGCTGAAGAGAGCTTAGTGAAAATATATCTGGCACTTGCTGCATCTTTTCCACCCTACCACAATCGAAGTACACCAAGATGAGTATGAGCATAGATAAACAGAACGGTTTCAGTGTCTGTACTTACCATATTCCGGGTGCCAAATTGACCATTGGGCTGAAGCAGGTTTATGTTGTTGCTGCCTACATAATCCTGTGCCATATTAATGATCGTACCGGCAAGACTCTGCTCGCCGTGATGATATGCCGAATGCTCTGATACATAACCAGAGAATTGGGCAACCTTGGCCTCCTTTGTGAAATTCCTCTTAAACGAACAAAAGAGTATCTTTCTCTGGCCGGGTTTGAGCCCATCAACCATGGAAGGAATTGACCTTTGAAGATCAGCCATGGAGAATAAGATAAGTTCCTTGTTTACGAAATCACTGAAGGAGATTTTCTGTTGCTTCTGATCAAGATGAGTTCCAGGCTGAAAAAACAAACTGACATCAGAACAGGAAGAAGTAATGAGCAAAGAACAAATATCTTAAGGTACTCAATTGTCCTGCATACCTCAAATTGTGAAAGCCAATTCTTTCGAGCTTCGATTTTCTTTTTACTAAATGCAAGTTCAATCGCTTCTCCATCTTGTTCATCCTCCCAAACGAAATCCTTTTTGTGAATATCAAGGCTTTCAAAGTACTCTTTGCCCTCCTTAGATGTACTTGTTCCCAGTCCCTAGAAAGACACAATGACAATTAGTAAGCAGAGAACATGAGCCATTTCCATGTGTACTAACTTAATAGTTATAACAGATCGCAAACCTTGTAGTATTTAATAGTCCAACCGGTTGCATTACCACTCAGACTTTCTTTCCAGCTTTCATACTCGGGCATCGAATAAAATGACAGAACTTCAGGGTTGCGAGAACCTCCAGCCTTACGCGTAGCCTGAGTACATTATGTTTATTAGCAGTTGTTAAAATCATTTGCAAGCACTAAGATATTATACAAGGAAGAATTTGTATTTACCTTCACAATGGGGGTGATAAACTCAACTAGGAATGACGGAACCTTGAGTAATGTTGGCCAAAAAGAGTGGATGAAGTTGATTAAGAGACCTTTTATGTGGGAACCATCGTGATCCTGAACAAGGTGGATCCATAAAATCGTTACAAGAGCATATAAAGAGACACACATATATGTAGCTGAGTGTAGATGTAAAAAGTAGATTACCTGATCTGTCATGATCATCATATGCCCATATCTCAGTGAGTTAACGTTTTCATACGCCATATTTTGCTTCAGTCCAAGGATCTTCTTGATATTCTCAATTTCCTTATTGTTAGTGATTTGCGTGGTGGTGGCTTCCCTAACATTCAGTAGCTTTCCTCGGAGAGGGAACACACCATAATAATCACGACCCACAACAGACATCCCCGCCATCTAAACATAATGAGTGTTAGGTGTCTGTTGGGGACAAACAGATGACAAGAGATAAAAAAACCACTTACAGCTAAAGCCTTAGCTGAGTCTCCTTCTGTCAGAATCAACGTACAGCGTTGAGATTCCTTTCCCCCAGCTTTGTTAGCGTCCTCCAACTTCTCAACCTGAACCCTATCAGTCTTAGTTCCATCGGTTTTCTTAAGATCTTTACTCTGCTTAAAAGTTGCCCATGAAAGCAGATTTTCCACCACTCCAGATTTAGCCACTGGATAAAAAACAAAAGCAAATTTAAGCACTCATCTAGAAATGTCCAAACAAGAAAAAAGAAGCACACCATACCTTTCTTCAAAATATCTTCAGAAAGCTCGCATTTAGACCCGAAACTGCTCTGACGAAGGGTCAATGTTTCTTTGGTTTGAGAATCAAAAGCAGGATTGTCAATCAAGGAGTTGACAAATACCCACAGATGGTTCTTAACATTGTGTGCCTTGACGTTAGCAGTTTTGTTCTTCTTGTTCACAATACCCACAATGTAGTTCGTGATCTGACTCGTAACATAGTCAACATGCGTCCCACCCTTGATTGTAGCAATAGAGTTCACAAAGCTGACCTGAAAAAAAAACAGAAGTAAAACATCGTTAGAACACACCAATCTTCATGACAGAAGAGAGAGAGGTAATATCCAGCCAAATACACATACCTGTTGAAACTGTCCATCACTAATGCTCACACAAACCTCCCATCTGTCATTAACTTTCTCCACCAACCTAATCACAACACAAAACGATAAACTTCAATTCCCAGACACAACCTTCTTATAACTTTCAAAGAACAACGAAAAAAAAAAAAACCTTGGGAGAGGCTCAGTCCTTGACTTGTTAGCTGCATTCAGGTACATATCAACATAATCAGTAAACGATTTGATTGGAATCCTTTGACCATTGAGCTCCACCTTCACAGTCTTTCCCAAACACCCAGCAATATCAAACACTCTTTTACTCATCAACGCAACCACATCATCCTCCAAATGAGTCATCCCGAATTTCCCCAAATCAGGTTTGAAAGACACTTTCGTCCAGTTCTCAGTCTTATTGCATTTCGTTATAACCGGTTCAGACTTCTTCCCCATATTGTTTTCAAACACCTAAACACATCACCACAAAAATGTTAATGTTAATCACTCCATTAAAAGAACACGTGATGTATCACGTGCCATAGACTCATTAATCCTAAAATCAATCAATCATATAATCATAAACCCTAAATCAATCAATCATAGAATCATAAAACCTAAAATCAATCGCACCTGTTTGTACATCTTCTGCCTCTTCCCATCAGCAGTCTCAATCGTAAACTCCGTAGAGAAGATATTCGTAAGCTTCGCTCCGTAACCGTTTCTCCCACCAGTAGTCTTCTTCTCATTATCATTATAGTTACTACTCGTCAGCAGATGACCAAATATCATCTCGGGAACATACACACCTTCCTCCTGATGGATCTCGACGGGGACTCCATCACCACTGTTACAAACACTAATCAGATTCTGCGCGACATCGATCACGACCTTGACGGAATCCATCTTCGGATCTCGCTGCTTGTTGTCAGCGGCGTTCACCAGAATCTCGTCGAAGATCTTGTAGAGACCGGGGACGTAGGTGACGGGGCGATTCACCATCTCCTCGTTCTCGTACACCCAGAGAGTCTGCGTGTGCTTCTCGATGGACCCGATGTAGGTATCGGGACGGAGGAGGATGTGCTCGAGCTGAGATTTCTTCTGGTACATCTCCTCGATCGTTTTTCCTCCGCCGCCTCGGGAAGGAGCTGCGGCGGCGACATTGACGTTGTTGCTGGTTTGGAGAGGGAGTTTGGTAGCCATGGGGGTGAGGGGGGTGGAGTTTCTGAGAGGGAAACTGTGTAGATCTGGAGGAATCAGAGGGGATTGAGTGAGGATTGAAGAAGGATCGGAGTTAGGGTTTTTTTCTTCTGGAGCGTAGAGAGTGAGGAGAGACGATGGAAATGTAAAGAGAGTGAGTGATGATAAATATTAGATGAAAGAGAGAGAGAGAGAGACAACGGTTCGGATCTGAATTCGAAATTTGAATTTGGGGATGGGCGCGGGATAATTAGGGTTTTTTAAAAAAGTACGAAGAAATCTGACGGCTGCAGATGATTTCGAGATAAGAGAATCTGAAAAAAAAAAAATTACAGATAAATTAAAGCTAAAAGGATATAATTAGAGCCCAATAAAAGCCCATTTGGTTTCAAATACGACCCTGACTCAGTTAAACGCATATTCTGGAACCAAGCTAAAATGTGTCACATATGGGCTTTTTTGTCGATATATTGGTTTAATATGTGTCATTTTATACTACTAATTAATTTTAAGGAAATTCTCTAAAATAACCCTCTTTTAAATTTTTATCACAAAAATAGACTTCAAAAATTAAAATGACCAAAATACAACTTTTTATTTTGAAAATTTTAAGTTTTCTTGATTTTTTAAAATTCGAAATCATATCCCTAAAACCACACTCTTCAACTCTAAACAAAAGATTCTAGGATTAGTTAACCCATGGATATAAATATATATTTAATAAAACATTTAAATATTATTTTAGTCATTTTAATTGTTAAGGTCTATATTTGTGATAAAAGTTCTTTTAGGTCTATTCTAATCATTTTCTCTTGATTTTAACTTTAAAAAAGTCAAGAATTCAATGAAAAATAGGGTTAATTTGATGAATAATTATACTTAAAAAATATTAGATTTATAGTAAGAAAATAGAGAGATAGAAAGAGCAAGGAGGAGAGATAAAAAGGAAAAAGGAAAACAACTAAAAAAGGAAAAATATGTAACAAGGAAAATATTTTAAGAGAAAATTATGAATATTTTCCTTTTCTCTTCTTTTAATTTAGAGCATACATATATCATACAGCTTGTTAAACCTTTTGCAGATATTCATAAAATAGGTTAGGTTTGAGAATTTTTGGGAGGGGAAATGTCTGTGTCTGAGATTGTGATCCGACAGAATGGGGATGGAACGACGCGGCGTGTACGGATACGGAGACGCGCTCCTCCTCCAAAGCCTGCTGAGCAGCTTGATCCCGATTATGTTGATCCCGTCAAAGAGGAGGAATACGAGCGCCAAGTTCTCGAGTCCGACGTAATCTCCTTTAACACGATTTTTATCCTGTAGTAATGTGCTTCAGCTTTTAGATTGAACACATTAATTACGCTTGTTTCTGTTTACTTTATATTGTTTTCACAATTTTGGAACCTCAGAGTCTTGTTATCGTGACAGGGTTTCGATGTTGACTCATGTCCTCTTGCTTATGGTGGAATCTTTCCTTACACACTGAAAGATAAGTACAATTATCCTTACGACACAGGCCTTCTAAGTAGGTTGGGACTTCACTGTTACAATCTTCAAAAAGTAGGTACCATCGTTGACTGGTTTGTTTTGTAAACTGTATTTGAATGCTGCTGCTTGATTTACATAATGATATTATTTATTTGTATAGGGAACTAACCTCGAATTGGTTGCTATAAACAAATTCAACTCTGAGCTGCATGGTTCTTCGCTCGAGTACATAACCTTGGAGGCCATTGACACTTCCAACAACTTTCCTTACAGTTTTCAGACTTGTGTTGCCAAAGATATTGCTCCGGAAGAGGCTTCCTTTGCGTTGCATACCGAAATTTCCAGATTAAAAGGTGAGATTGGACTTTGACTTCAGAGACTGCATTGCAGTGTGCATGTCTAGACAGACCTTTTTCCTTACTTTTACTTCTTGTTATCAGTTCCTCCTGCCTGCCCTCGGACTACTCCTGAGAGAAGGTGGATAGACGAGGCAGTAGATGATTTTTACAAGGGTAAAATGCCCACCTGGTCTACAATAGATAACCTGCCTAAAGAACAAGTTTATGAGGTATTTATTTGTGGCTCTGTTTAAATTTTGCTTCATCTGTGTTCTTTTTTGGGTATATAAATATGATAGTTGATTCTTGTTTAACAGTTGCAAGAATCAGACCTGCAAGAAAATCAGTGGATTCATCTCTATGCCGAGTTTGCTTTTCACTTCAGGTGGCTTGGATGTGGGGTATGTTTTTTTTTTTACTCAAAAGGTGATTGATTATATCGGTTTTTTTTTGGGTCTTGCTAAAAACTTTATTTTGCGTTTTTACAGAATCGATTGAAGTCATATTTACCACTTGAGTTCAAGAAGGTGATAATACAAACCAAAGAAAGTGGAGAAGAGTCCCCGCGTATGAAGCTCAAGGCCAACAACGCCATCTTTTACATGAGTTTCAAGGGCAACGGTGATCCGAGTCGTAAGGATGTTGAGTACCAAGCCATCGTTAGGAGAACCATGGATGGAATGCCCGGACACATTCGTCTAGAACTTGACTGTTTATCCTAGCTATTCAAGCCTTAGATTTTCTGTTTTTAATCCAATATGCAATGGGGTCACACTAGTAGTAGTAGTAGTAGTAGCATGATGCTCTTTATGTGTCTCTCTTTCTCTGTGTGAACCCTTGTTTAAAACATATATAGATATGAATGCATTTTCGTAGTAATTTAACACCTGTTCCTGCATACATTCACTAAGTTTTTTCCAATTCAAAGCTAAAATACAAAATATCCGATACAGAGGAAAATATCAAATAACCTCAAGGGCGGAGGCAAGATGGACTAGAGTAGGGGCCCTGTAAACTTGACAACCCAATGATTTCTAGCATAATATTTGGTAAAATTAGTTTTTCACCAAATAGTTTGTGTTCACATTTACAAAAGCCCCCATTAATTCATATAGTTCTCAATTTTTGTTAGAAATATGACATTATTATTATTTTAATACAAAATTTATAGACATGATCTCGATAAAGTTAATTTGAGTTTGACCAGTGCATTACTCTACCATGGATTATACAGTTTTATCTCTTTCTAAAACAAAAGAAAACAGTCTAAGCCAATGAGATATTGGATATCCGAATCCAAATGAATATCTGAAGATAATCAAACATACGTATATTTAACTATATATTTCTATTTTATTTCTTTTCTTTTTTGAAAGTTATTTATATTAATGGTATACATCACTTAAGATCATATGCAAAAATCCTATGATTGCAATTTTTCTTCTTATTTTTATGTATTTCATTAAATATCGAAACTCGTGCGAAACACATGCAATGCATATCAAGTTTTAATTACCTGAAGCTTTATAATAGAGTGCTATATAGGAGAAACTCATCGCTATTATATATAACTGAGTTAAACATACTTTAAAGATGAATTGACAATAAAAATACTTTGAAGATGAAAAAATCATGCAAACAAAGGTATATAGATGATAACAAATGCACAAAAAGTTCATATTTCCTACAATGACAACATAAACATTACTAAATGATCTTGGAAACATTAGAATATGTTGGAACAAGAAGAATAACATAGAAAGGTAATGCAATATTAAAATTAAGAGAATAAGAATGTGTATGACGTTATCATTGACTCAATTGACTTGATTCAAATTTCTAATTTATTATATTTCACTTTAAATCATATTTTTACGGGGTTGGATTTGATTTAAATTTTTAGATCTGGATTTTTTCTATAACCTAAATACAAAGCTTTATACTATAATTACAGAAACATAAATATAATTCAAAACTTATGTTGATTTTTTAATAATTTCTTGAATAAGTTTCACACATCATATACAAAAATCCTATGATTGCAATTATTTTCTCATTTTTATGTTTTTCATTAAATTAAACATCAATCGAAATTCGTGTGAAACACGTGCACGGGTCTAAACGTAATCTATATATATATATATATATATGGTTTCTTCTAAGGGTGCAAAATTCCTACGCCCATTATTTAAACTATTTTATTATATGATTTCCTCTAAGGAAAAACCAAAGAAAGTGTATATAAAGAATGTGTACTTTTTATTATTATATATATGCTTATAGTAGTAAATCAATGCATCCTAACATTAAGTTGACTTGGCACTACTACAATTGACTTGGCATAACTTCAGAATAAATACACCCACCAGCTTTCTTTCATAAATTATAGTAAGTGTTTTTACAGTCACCCAATTCCCTGAAAACGAGGAGGAAACAAATCATTCTACTCCATAATGAGCTAGAGGGATCAAAGTGTTTTATATGTAATTGTAGATGCCAGATTCTTAGCATAATTAACTCCTTCCATTTTCACTTAATGGCGGCAGTCCGTAGATGAGGTTGGCATACTAGAACTAAACTTATTAATTTTATTTGACTTTTGGTAAGAGCATGTAAGTAGCCATATCACAACCTGTGGATAAATAAAACAAAAGCATAGCGGAAAACAAAATGACAACGTCGCCTGATCAGCCCTTCGAACCTCGCGGGAAACCAGCTCAGCCAAAAACCACTTTGATTTTTCTATAACGTTTTGATGATATTATCAAACTTTGCATCTACGGGCGCCACTACGTGAATCACTCATTCCTTGGTGTATTTGTTTACTAATTTAAAGTCGTTTGTTCTTTCGATAAACTAAAGTTTCGATTCAGTATATGACTAACTACTAAAAATTATCTTGGAAATTTAAAGAGAGGGCAATACAAACACATCAACTCATGTACACTAAACAGTCAATGTTGGTCTACCCTTGTTCTACAAGTAGTCATTGAAGATGTATGAGAGGCAACCATATTGATTCTAACGGCCTTGAACTTTGGACCTTACACATATTTCCAACCGAATTTAACCATTAGAACTAACTGATCTTTTATGATTTTGGCCCCTAAAATTTTGGGCCCTGAAACTAATGTTTGATTAGCCTCTATCCAGGCATGGCCCTGGACCGATGATGAGTTGACTCGAATTCGCAATGGTAATTAACACTAATTAATTATGTTCATTAGGAACTTATCATCCATTGTGTGTTTGGTTTTAGAAATTTTCTCTCTATTTCAATAGACTATATTATGTAGTTTATGTGACTAATAAATATTTCTAAATTTCCAAGAAAAATTTGTCTTCAGTAGTTGTCGTTTCTAATTAAAAGGATATCCTTGTCTTTATTGAGATGCTCACTTCTCCGGACATAAAATATAGCTTATAACCACTGACTTTTCCACTTTACGTACGTTTGCATGAATTCAGTCAACAAAATCAAATTCCCAAAGATCCTTTGTATATCCATCGATGTATTTTTATGTATTTCATTAAATTAAACATCAATCGAAATTCATGCAACGCACGTGCAATGCACGGATCCATACATAGTATATATATTTTATAGTTATATAGTATTTTGTTGAACAACTCACCACTTTCTTCTTTCAGCTCGCATATGACCGATTGATGTCAAAGACTCTACCAATACCATCCAGTTTTGATTCGATGATTAATGACATGGTCGAGCCAGGAATTTGGTCATACAACTCACAAAATTCACGAGAAATGGAGAAGGTAGACTGCAAAGTCTACACTCATCAAGGTTAGTAATAAACAAATCTTAAACAAACAGATAATATTAATAACACTGATACTTACTTCATTTTCGTTATACACCATATTGTGTCCTTTTGGTTTGCAAACTAAAACAGAGCAGACAAGTTCAACTCTCTCATTCTCATCATACGAACTTAAAACCATAAAGAGAGCAAACAAGTTCAATTTGGGATTAAGGAATATGGTTTAAGATATGAATGGCTCCAAAAATGAATAAAAAGAGGAATAAACTTGAGATTCACATGAAAATATAAAATGATTATGAGGAAAAGAAATTGGTCCTTGTGTAAGTCCTAGCATGTGTTCCATTCATTCGGTGTAACTCTCTAGAAGCCACGCCCGAAGTGATTTATCTGATTGTTCCTTCTCATTTCAGGTTATTTTTTTCTGTCTTGATTTTGAGTTTTTAAAATAAAAAATCAGTCAATAGCTTTTTCCGGCTTCTTTGTGATTGGTATCGCTCTAATTTCAGCTGGTTTTTCGCTCCTGGTGAATAGTTAGTGTTCTAGGTATCATATGATCGCTCTAATTTCAGCTGATTTAAAGTTTGAAGCATTTTTTTTTATTTAAGCTCCTTCGTTAGCTGATAGATCTGCTGCATATTTTGCTCTATGATCTTAAGTTGTCGATCGTTTGCAATGATCACATGTAGACATGTTGATGTATTGATCAATTAATTAGGTAGATACCTTAACTCCAAATCGGTAAAAGTATCCTCTTCCATACCAAAATCATTCTCTTTAAATTATGGTATAACTCGATTCCAGTAACTGTAACATACTCCCTTTGTCATCGGCCGAAAACACTCATCTAGTTGTTACACCTAATCCATATCCCACACATGTCATATAGATATACATCATAGAAAAAAGTTTGTGAAAATCACAAGAGAAACTATGGAGAAATCTATGTTGGATGAATTGAAGAAGATGTTTAGTGAGTATTTTTTTTATTCTTGATAAAATAAATTGTTTCTCCACGTTTATGACAAATACAAAGATCACAAATCTTCTTAGAAAATTTTCATAAATAACTTTGAAATTTTCAGAAATCATGTTATCTTACTTGTAGAATGTATCTTCTATACAGTGTAGAAATCATAACATTTTTCTATAAACAGATTCTACTATAAGTAAACCTTCTAAACTATATCTAGATTTTTTATTCTTAGAATTTTAGAATTGCTTCTTAACATAGAAGACGCATTCAGAATTATTATAGAATCTTTTATATTGGGTAGACGTCACATTCTTTGTATTTAGATTTTAAAAAAAATAGATTATCGTTTCTAAAAGGTAAAATCACTTGTCTAACGTAGATTGTTTTTGTAAAATAAACTAAAAAGAATATCTTAGGATATTCACAAATTGAAAATAAGATTTAGGGGAAAAATAATTCTCTACAAACAATAAAAAAAATTACCAAAAAAGCCAAAAGAGATTTCAATACAAAAATAAAAGATTATTCATCCTTATTTTATAAATATATTAATAGAAGTAATTAAATAAGACATAAAGTATTTTTGAATAAACTGTTTCAAATTTTTTTTAATGTTTTCACTTTTATTTTAGAATCCGAAAAATTGAAACTACTTTAAAAGAATTATTTGAAATTATATTATTTTAAAAATCATAAAAATATAAGTGTGTTTATTATTTTATGAAACATTTTAATCATTTTGTTTTGTGATACAAATTTAATAGTATTACAAAAAATCTAAAAAGAAAAAACACGAGATTCATATGGGAAAAAAAAGAAAGTAATAATAAAAAAAAAATGATAATGAAGAAAAAGGAATTGGTCATAGCCTGAGTCCCAATCGAGCTAAGCCGGGAAGCTTCTCTGATCATCTCCTTCCCAGTTTCAGGTTAATCCTCTCCTCTGCATCGATTTCGATTACAGCTGATTTAGAGCTCCTGCTGCGTAGTTAGGGTTCGGTATTCAGCTGATCGCATCTACATACCAATATTTTCGATGATTTTGAAATTTGGAGTGATTTTCTATTGATTTAAAGATGAGTGAAGCCTTCGTTATCTGACAGATCTGCTGCTTATTGTGTCTGTTATGAATCGTTGTTGCTTTTATCTCATTCTAATGCCTATTTTTTTGCTGAGAAAGAGAGTATGTGTAGATGGAGAAAGCTTATCCTTTTGCTTCATTTCCTTTTTTAGTTTAGATCTGCAAAAGAGGAAAGTTTGTAGAAATTAACTCCTTTTGTTTTGTTTGTTTCTTGTTACTAGAAAGGTGGTTCTACTTGCTTGCACTGTTCTCTTCAATGGTTTCGTTCCTAAGGTAACAATTTTGACAAGAATGTGGGATTTAGTTACTCATTTGTAACCCCGTTTTAGCCGTTTTTTTTGTGGTATGCTTCTCAGATGACAGTCAAGGCTGCTGAGGATATTCTAAACATCTATTAACCTTTTTTGGAGTTAGTTAAAGAGTGTGATCAAAAATGGATGATGATAATGGGCTCGAGCTCAGCTTGGGTCTCTCTTGTGGAGGAGGGAAAGCTAAGGGTAACGTCACTAATAATGCTGGAAGCTCCTCGGAGAAGCACATAGTAGAAGGAGGAGATAGAAGTGCTAAAGTGATTGATGACTTCAAGAACTTCCTTCATCCTACTTCTCAAAGACCAGCTGAGCCCAGTTCTGGTTCTCAGAGAAGTGATTCTGGTCAACAACAACCTCCACAGAATTTCTTCAATGATCTCTCCAAACCTCCTACTTCCGACGCTGAAGCTTCCACGAAGCCTTTGTGGGTGGAGGATGATACAACACGACAAGAAGGGGGAAACAAAAGAAAGTTTGGGTTTCCTGGGATGAACGATGAGAAGAAGAAAGAGAAAGTAGACTCCTCACATGTTGTTGATCCGCAAGAGAAGAAGACAAAAGCATCACATGTTTCAAACGCTACTGATGAAGGATCAACAGCTGAAAACGAAGATGTAGGAGAATCTGAAGTAGGTGGTGGTGGTGGTGGTTCTTCCTCCAACCTTGTTAAGGAGGTGGCTCGTCCTACTGCTGATACAAACGTTGTGGACAACTTAGCCGGTCAAAGGAAGAACAGCCATGTTGGATCAGGTGCTGAAGAGATTACTACAGTCCGCAACATGAGTTACAACACCAAACCTTTCACTATTCATCCACAGAATGTCGTCACTGGGTTACCTTACACTTTACCTGCAAAAGAGTCTGGACAACATGCAGCAGCTACAAGTCTAACACATTCTACTACTAATGCTGGTAATAATCTCCCAGTTATGTTTGGATACTCACCTGTTCAGCTTCCTATGCTGGATAAGGATGGTTCAGGTGGCATTGTTGCCCTTACTCAATCTCCATTCGTCAGTAGAGTCCCATCAAACTCGGGTAAGCAAACATGTCGTCAAGTCCTTTACTTACAAAGATAATAACTTCTTTTTGCTTCTCAAAAAGCTACTGCGAAAGGCGAGGGGAAACAGCCTGTTGCAGAAGAAGGCTCATCGGTAGATGCATCAGACCGACCAGCAGGAGACAACAACACTGCTTTCTCTTTCGACTTCTCTGCCATAAAACCTGGAATGGCAGCAGATGTGAAGTTTGGAGGATCTGGGGCACGTCCTAACCTGCCGTGGGTGTCAACCACTGGCTCAGGCCCACACGGTCGAACAATCTCAGGTGTTACGTATCGGTACAATGCAAACGAGATCAAAATCGTTTGCGCTTGTCATGGCTCACACATGTCTCCGGAGGAGTTTGTCAGGCATGCAAGCGAGGAGTATGTTAGTCCTGAGTCATCTATGGGAATAACTGCGGCTTCGGCTCACACCTGAAAAGTCGCCGGAGAAATGTAAGCAAATGGAAGAAGGGTTTGTAGTTTCTCTGGGGAAGAATTCATTTGTTATGTTTATTCTGCTCAGATGATACCTAAGGCCAAAGTTTTATCTGAGCTTTCCACTGTGTGTGTTGTAATCTCTCTGCTTCTTTTGTTCCTCATTTCAACTTGTATCTCTTCACTTCTGTGTATTACTGTTAGTTTTGTAAGCCTGTCTCTGTTTATTTTTTGCTTCAAACAAATATCTTGAAAATAAGAAAATTTACTTTTATTAGTCTGTGGATTTGGACTAAAACAATTAGTGGGCACTAATTTCGGGCATAGTGATTGTGTTATTATACAAATCAAAATTTCATTATCATAATACAAATGCTTAAAATCATGAGACTGATTATTATTGAAACAAATCTAAAATTATTATTGGTCCGTGCAATAATTCAAAAACGTAATGCATGGAAGCCATCATGACTCAATCATGAAAAAACGCAAAATTTGACTTTTCTTTTCCCTACCGAAATTTTGTGCAACTGGTCGGTGACTAAATACTTCCGGCGAGTGCAGCAACAAACATTTTAATACTTGTTTTGAGCTCATCACCATTTGCTCAGCAACTACTATAACTTATAATTGACACGAATATAAACCTTTACTGGTTATAGTTTAGTGGCTTTTTCGTTATGAATATTTTAGTAAACATTGTCGAGAATATTTTTCGGGTATTTTGCTTTTTATTAGTTAACTAACACAAGATTGTGGGTATATATGTAGTTTTATGTACAACCATAACTTTGCACTTTGAGGTTTTTGTAATCGAAAAATATCAAATTATGAAAACATGAAACAAGGACTGCCCTACGTGTTTTAGATCAACCAAACCAAACCAACTCGAAAAATGATCTAACAATGTATACCAAAAGCTAATCTCAATTATTTGGAATAATTGATCAAATCTGAATAGAACTATCGGCCATGTTTCTATAAGCCTTGTACTATATCAATCCATTAGGAAATATACTGAACCGTACTGAGAAGAAGTTTGGTTTAGTTGTACCAAAACCAAAAAAATAATCTAAAAAAGCAAACGTATGATGCAAGTTGTAATTTCATATACAATGTACAAAACAAGTTTCGATTAGTCTATAGTCCTAAATATGATAAATAATGAGGTCAGAGAATAACAGCCCAACAAAAGGTAATTTGTTTTTTAGTTAATGGAGAGACTAGTAGTAGATGACAATGAGAAAGCAATATCATACAAAATGTTGTCACGTATATGACGACGACGTGATTATATTATTTTATCTCTCTACATGGACGACAAAATAATCCATATCTCTAACATAGTCTCATTCTTCTTCATTCTCCTCTGCAATAAAACCTATTTAAGATCCAAGAATAAAACTTTTCAAGAAAATCAAGAAAAACATAAAAGTTTCTTCGATGAATCAAATTTTCATCTTCTTGTTTCTTACAATCTTCAATAGTTTAAACTATGTATCTGCTCAGCCACCTGCTCCTCCGTTCAGAAACGGCGACCTAGTCACAAACTTCGAGCCAAGTTTAGCCGTCGTCACCGGCGTTCTCGCAATCATGTTCTCACTAACTTTCGTCCTCCTCCTCTACGCTAAGTGCTGCCACATCGATCTCCGGTCAGGAACCGGCGACGGAAGACGTCAAGATCGACGAATATTCTTTAACCGGTCAAGCAACTCCTCGGACCGGTTCTCCGGTTTAGACAAAACCGCTATAGAGTCACTTCCTCTGTTTAAGTTCTCTGCTTTGAAAGGATCAAAGCAAGGGCTTGAGTGTTCCGTCTGTCTATCTAAATTCGAAAGCGTCGAGATTCTTAGATTGTTGCCTAAATGTCGTCACGCTTTCCACGTGGGATGCATAGATACGTGGCTTGAGCAGCACGCAACGTGTCCTCTCTGCAGAGCTAGAGTCTCAGTGGAAGAAGGATCCTCTGTTTATGGAAACAGCTTCAGGTTTTTGAATCAGTCTGAGGTAAGAGAAGATTCGAGCTTGGAGCTTTACATCGAGAGAGAGGAAGAAGAGGAGAGGAGACAGAGAGAGGAAGTTGGTGGGTCGTCTAGGTTTAGCATCGGAGGGAGTTTCAGGAAGATTTTGAAATTAGGTCAAAAAGAGAAACCGTTGCTTGATCAGCACGGTGAAGATAAAGACGAGAAGAAGCTGATGCATAAGTTCAATCATAGGATCCTTGTGTCGGACGTTGTGTTCAAGAATCGTTGGAGTAACGTGAGTTCGTCTGATTTGATGTTTTTGAACTCGGAGATGGTTAGTTCGGTTTCCAGCGAGAGATTCTCGTCGATGGATAGAGTGAAAAGTGGTAACTTGCGGAACAAGGAAGAGAAGGGAATGTTGGAGAACAGAGACTTTGGTTCGAAGTCAAGAAGCGTTATGATCGAACCAGGAAGAAGATCGGTTTCTGACATCACTGCGGTTCCTAGGGTAAGTATCACGGTCCATGGAGAATGTAGCGGTTCAAACGCGGCGACTGCGTCTGTGTTAGAAAACGGTGGAAACGAGACGGAAGAGAGAAGACGGCGTTTGTGGCTGCCTATCGCTAGAAGAACCGCTCAATGGTTTGCTAACAGAGAAAAAAGAAATCAAATTAATACAACACACCAACACTTCGATGTTTAGTTTCTTTGCAATTTTTTATATATTTTTTTTTTACAAATATTTAGTTTTGATATATGTTCTTAACAAAACAAAAGACTACACTTGTTAGTTAGATCAAAAGAAGATTGTTTGTGTAAATAAGATGGATTAATAAATTGAATTATTACTGGTTTATTATGTGTAAAAATAATAAATAATTGTTTACAATAAATGGAACATGTCAGCTTACCTGGTTACAGAAGCAACTCATTTAAAATGTATTATTATGACTGCATTATTGATTCTTTTGTCAACGACTCCATCATATCAATGTAAATACACATGTAATATTGCTTAAACGTATATTTATTTATGTATAGTTTTACTAAATACTACAAAGTATTAGTTTTTTTTTTTTTTTTACAAAGTATTAGTTAGACCAAATTGGTTTCGTCTTGTCTTCTTTTGTTTAGACTAACATTACTAACTCAAGTGTTTGATTAAAAAATACATATTAGTAGGTCAACAAAACTGCTAATAATGTAATCTTAGCTTCATAACGAACACTACATTTGCAAATTTAATCATCAATTAATATCTAATTCTTAATAAAATAGAATGTTAGAAACAATGAATCTAGGTTATAATAAGCAACATATTAGTTTGTCACTTTCTCAACAGTCCCAATAATATGAAACCTAATACCATTTTTAAGCATTTCCTTTAAAGATTTTTAACTCCTTTTTCAATTGCAAATTATAATATTATATCACCCAATCACCATTCGGTATATAATATATGATTATATATTTATCATGATTTGATGTAGGAATCTGACTCCTCGGATCTTGTCTTTTATCTATATATCAGCCACTAAACTTAAAATAGACGTATATTTTGTCATGCACATATGCACGTAAATATTTTTTTATTTTTTTTTTATGCACCTAAATATGCTATGTAAAAGTCTGTATAATTTAAATGAAAACCTAATCAAGTTGTTTTGGTCAAGTGGTAAAGGAGCTCCAACTGTAGTTGTAGTGGCCATTACTGGATTCGAGTTTTGGCAACTGTGGAATTTACATATGGGTTGCAGCATCCGAAATCGAAGACCGCTATAGGTGAGCTACATGGTGACGCCCTGACAATGTCCTTGTTCACTTTGATCTCTAGTCTGGACCACTTCAGTTGGGTCAGGATACTCGGTTAGAAAATAAATAAATAAATAAATAAATAAATGGAAAACCTTTTCTTTTCACTTGAGCATTATTATACTTTGTAACGAGGGACACGAGGATGCCTTGAGTGCAGCACCATAGGAGAACCTTTTTAATATTGTATGATTTGATTCATCTTTTGATAAGATAAATGAGTATACACAACTTATTTTCGTGTATGATGGCTAACTGGCTCTGCAATGTATAAATATAGACATATAGTTTTCAAAAATGAGCACTATATGATGTTGGTTATATTCAAGACAATCTTTTAAGTAGTCTTTGTTTATGATTGACATAAATTCTCGTTTTAATTGCTCTTTATTGGGATAGTTGACAAACAACAACAAAATAAATAATTCTTTTCAGATTAGAGAAAATTCCATATACATATGTAAACAATTCAAAGAACATAAATATAATAGAAAATAGGTAAATAAGGCCAAAGATTGTTGTTATGTAGAAAGGAAGTCATTGCATCATAATATCATGTGGTGGTTCAAACTTTATGACGATAGAGAATGGATCCTCTCTTACGCCTTGAGATATTGTTTCCCTTGAAGCTGCAGATAACACCTACTCCTATCTCTTGGATGATAGTGATGATGATGATACTGATGATGAGGATGATGATGGTTTTCTTAAAGAGCGTAACAAACCAAGCTGTCTGATACCGCAGAAACATAGGCCGACACCAATACAAGCCTTGACCATTAGACTGCTTAATGACCTCTCTTCTTTTCCAGATTAAACTCAGTAATTATGAAAATCAACAGAAAGCTGGCTAAATGATGGTAAAGTCCACCAAACTGAACCCGTAATGCTAGGTCACATGTCCCCTGCCACAAGCAACCTCTTGACTCAAAAGTTTTTAGAGGACGTGGACATCACTCTGCTCAAGGCTTGGCTCTTGATTTTCTGCAAACAAATGATGATCAAGCAGCAAAAATCAAGTTACGCCACAATTCAAGTGAACTACGCACATGCATATGAAACAAGAGTACATTTATGAGAATGGAACACAAGAATCAGATTATATTATACAAAGGTGTGAAGTCAGTAAGCTGTTCAAGGAAACATACAACTTTCATGCCTTGTGTGAAACAGTAGGCTTTGTTCATGGAGAAAAAAACTCCATTCAGAATCTGCAACCTCGTCTAGAGATTCCACTGCACAGTTTTAGTGCTGTCGTTAACACCTTCATGTATCCCAAAGGCATAATCTTTGCTCAGCAGATCAGAAGAAAGAGCTACACATTTTGTGTTTGCTTTGGCATCATTTCCCCCGAGACATGAATGATGAAGTCCACCCACCGGTTCTATTCCCATTCCCAGAACTTGATGTTTCAGGAGGGAAACCTGACTTTCCGTCATTTCTTTTTGAGGGACCAGCAGGACATGCTGAAGTGGATGGCATTTGCATCTACAATGGAGTTTTCAGTAAAGTAATGGTCAAGGACATTCATTGAGAAGTGATGAATCAGTATCAAGTTTTGGATAGTTTAAAGTTATATATAGCTCAAGACACATTAAATAATGCAAAAACAGGTTAAAGATCTTGTCAGAGAAGAACCATAAACAACTCTAACGCAACCAAGAGATGTTACCACAAGGGGGTGGAGTATGTACTTTATTGTGGAGGGAGTGATCAAAACCTGGACTCCTCCTTGTAGCCGTATTGTTATTCATCTGTGGGGTTGGACCAATATTATTAACTGATCTAACACGCTCGGAGGCCTCAGCTTCGTGTGAGATATTAGTTCCTCCTGCCAGACAGAGAGTTAGCATCAACACAAAAGAAATACTGGAATCATTGTTGACCAGTAAGTGACACAATCAATTTTTTTTACTAAAGCTGACCTCGTTGATTGCTTGTGTCCATTGGCATTGCACGCGCATTGCTAGACCCAGGAACTTCCTGCAGTAGACAAGAGACATATCAGTATAGAATCTTCTTTATGAATGAGACAAAACATGCATACATACAAGTATACCTGAGACTGATTTCTAGCTTTCTGTGCTTGCTGATACTTTATTATAGTCCAGTCAAATATATAGTCGAATTCATATCCTGCAAAGATAGAAACCCTATTAGCTGGGGGAACTATAAAGATGATAGAGAAATGCCTTTTGCTAAGTACCTTCCCGTGAGAATAAATCACGAAAAAGCCGCTTCAAGAAACCGTAATCAGGGCGCTGATCAAATGTCAGTGTGTGGCAATAATGAAAATATGAAGCAAACTCCACAGGGTGATTTTTGCATAGAACCTGCAAAAGGATTGGATATGAATATTCAGTAGAACGAGGATTAACGGAATAACAAATTATGCCGCAGAGAAGGAGACCTCAATAGGAGTTGATATCTTCTTTTCACAGATTTTCTCATACTTTTGCTTCTTGTCAACCGCTTTAAGACCCTGCCATGGAAGACTAAAAAGAAGGTTCATGAAAACAGGACAATACATAAGGATACCATTCAAAAAATACAATGCTAGCTAGTTTATTTCAAGAAGAAAAGCCAACACACCTGCCTCTTAGGAAATACAGAAGCACATATCCAAGAGATTCTAGGTCATCCCGTCGACTTTGCTCTGTGAAACCGAAAACAAAGTGTATGAGCGTAAAGTCATAGACATAAAGAGAACAGGTGGAAACATTCCTTACCGATTCCAAGATGTGTATTGCAACTTGCATACCTTGCAGTTCCTGTTAAATTCTTGTTTTCCCTTTAAAAAAAAGCGAATTTGTATTATGTGGCCAGTAATGAACAATAGCCAAAAAATGCTATAATGAACAATGGCCAAAAAAATACTTGTAAGGGATGTGGCGGTTGGTGCTGGCATCACGATATCTTTTGGCAAGTCCAAAGTCAATAACATAAACCTGATTAACTGAGACTTATCATTCCCTTTTCAAATTTTCAGATAGAGAAGAGAAACTACAGAAACATACCTGATTCGCTTTCCTCCCTAGGCCCATGAGAAAGTTATCAGGTTTGATATCTCTATGCAGATATCCTTTAGAGTGTACATATTCTATTCTCGTTAGCTGTAACAAGGATAAAGAAATTGGAATCACATTAGAACGATCAATGTAAAACAGCTAAATACCATTTGATCAGCTAACAGCAAGACTGTCTTTGGTGAGAACTTCCTCCCACAATACACGAACAAATCTTCGAGACTTGGCCCTAGTAAATCCATCACTAAAGCATTCTCTGTTCCATCAACTCCAAACCATCTTATCCGCGGAATGCCACCTGCAGAGCAACACAAAGGATCAGCTTCTGTAATAATCTAAGAAAAAGTGATAGAAAATGAGAAGCATACATACTTCCTCCTTCAAGAACTCTGTACAGCTTGGCTTCATATAGTAGTTGAGGATGCTTTGTTTTACTGTTCTCCTACAAAAAACATTCGAATTGAATTGAATTAAAGACAATATTATAATTGCAATTCCGACAAACATCAATTCAGACATGATTAACAGTTAAAAAAAAACAGAACAGATCCAAAATCAAAATCAACTTACGATCTTAACAGCTACGATCTCGAAAGTATCGACGTGTGTAGCTGTGGAGAAAGCAAACAAAGAAACAAGTCAATACGAATCAATTTGGAAACGAAAAGAGTATCGATGAGAAGACACAGACCGAGGAAAATCTCCCCGAAGGAACCGCCGCCGATCTTGCGTCCGAGCTTGTACTTGCCGCCCATGATACGTTCCACTTCCATGTCAGCTCCGATTAAGACCGAATCCGGTAGGACTAGGATCAATAGATAAGAGTTGGGGCTTTGTTTGAACAGACGAGACACGAGTGGATTTGTGTTTGGGTGACGTGGACAGATGCATTATTACCAGATTTGTCTTTTTTGGTCAACGCAAGGTAATATTGACATTTATAGTAGTTTAGGGGTCGATTGGTTATAGCTGTAGTTTTAAAATTTTAGCTGTGCAGAAAATGCTGTAATTTTTTTTGCTGTCGCTTTAGATTTTATTGCTTTAGATTATATGGAAAGCTCAAAAAAATTTCTTTAAGTATGTGGCTATAGAAAACACTTATACAGCTGTAGATTATTTCAGAAACTGTGGTTTTTACAAAATCATTAAAGTTTGATTGCTGTGATTTTGGTGCTTTAGCAATACATGGTACTATGGAGAGCACTCACAGCCATTACCAGTCACACTCTTAATTTTATGTATGTACTTTCAGTTTTTAGAGTGATTTAGTTCATTATACTCTTTTTAATTTACTAAAATGGTAATATACATTTTATAAAATAAAAAATAATGTATATAATATTATAAAATCAAAATAATTAAATATTAAAAATATTTTAGTATAATTTATAACTTTTTATCAGCTATATATAAATCCGCAATTAAAAGATATGAGTTTCAAGAAATAATATAAAATATATAAATTTAATATATTTATGTAAAATTATATGTTATTATAACTAATTTAATTTGACAATACACTAACTGTTTGTTTTTCTTAACATAGTTTTTAAAAATGGATAATGTTGTATTAGATTTTCACTCTTATTATTACATCACAAAATAGAAAAGAACAAACTTATCCTTGTTTATTATATGAATGAAAAATTATAAATGAATCAACACACAAAACGAATTCCACACAAAGGAGAACATATTACGATTGAAATTCAGAAAAAGGGAAAATATATCATCAGAAAAAAAAAAAACTTTAATTAGAATTGTCTCTTCGAACATTCCGGAGGCATGACACCATTGAACCTCTTAGTGTCCTTGCAGTAATCATAGATCATGAAACCAGATCGTATCTTTTGCATCCTGTCTAGTTGCGTTCGAGTAAGCTGGCTAAACGAAGGTGAAGTCCACCAGTTAGACTTTATGGTTGGGTCTGCGCATTGCTTGATGCTAACCGGTCCTTGCCACAAGCAAGCTCTTGCCTTGTACCTACGACCCTCGGCTACAAACGGTGCTAATGTCCAGTTTGTCTTCACTCGACCTCCTTGTGTCGCCCAGTCGTCTGCGCTCCATAGACTTGCAAACACTTTCATACCTTGCTTGTTTGGGTATGCTATTCCTTCCTTCTCATAGTTCCTAAAAACTCTGATTGGAGTTCCATCCACGAACCACCTATATAACATATATGTTAAATAATGTAAATTAAACATAGCTCCTATAACTTTTTTGTGGTATACACTGTATGATGTCTGTGAGGGATAAATCTCACTTCCTAGTTTAGGTTAGGTTAGGATTGGGGAGAAGACAATCGTGGGCTGAATCCCTTAAGAACTTAGAAAATGAATACGTTGATTATATTGATTTTTGGTAATAAAGAGTTTACAAGGATGATCTCGATGATCGAATGGAAAGAACAATGATTGATCAAGAATGATTAAGAACAATGTGTATTGGAGTCTTGTTATCTTGAATGAGTCGAATCCCTTCCTCTGATCTCTTCTTTCCTTTATATAGTACTAGGTCACGTCCAACTCCTTCCGGCGAAGCCTCCGCGATTATCTCCGTGAATTGCGGGATTTGCAACAGCTTCCCCTTGACTAAGTCTTGCACGTTTCTGTCTCCGTTACCTAGGCTGTTTTGTCAGGTCCCTACGAAAGAATCCGGACCTGTTCTCCGTGACCTCTTTCTTGTGACCTCTTTCTCGTGACCTCTTTCTCGAGATCAGCTCCCTTCCTTAGGTGAGCTGTATTCTTCTTCGCGGTATTAACCCATATCCGGCCCATTATTGGGCCTGGTTTAACTAATTCGCTATCTTCAGCTTACGGGCCATATTTGGGCCCAACAGTTGCCCCCAGCTTTCGAGATAAGATGCTTTTCTCGGGAGCTAAACCTAGCCGCCGAATCTTTTAATTTTGTTAAGATAATGATTACTCGTGATCTTTTCTCGAGCATATCTCTTGCTTGATCCGACGGTTGTGATTAAATCTAACGAAATCGACGGTTCAGTTTAAAAGAATATTTGAAATAGTTATTCCCCGATTCTCGAGGCCTCGATGGGATATAAAGCTGCTCGCATTAACTTCAACTTCCCCACTCTCTCCACATCGCGATTCGGTTTCCACAGGTAACTTCCTCTTGTCCCTTCTTTTTATTTAACTTCTTTACAGGTTTCTCTTTTTGTTTATTTCTGTTTGACTAAATCTTCGAGTTTCTTCCCCCGAACTTGTTATCTCCGAAGGTTTAGATTTACTTTGCTCGATCTTTCTTTTTCTCTCTTTACTTTTCCTCATCGTTTTCGATATGACCCGACCAAAGGAAGGTTCCGGAGAAACAGGAATCTCTGCTTCAGGTGCTCGGCTTATGAAGGTGAAACAAGAAGTTGGTGAATCCATGAAAAGAACTGAGAGGAAGAAGAGGGCTAAAGATTCGATAGCCCAAAGAGTCTCCAAACGGACAAAGAGGACCGGAGGTTCAAGTGGGGTTGTACCCTCCGGGTCTCATCTGCCTTCTGTTTTGAGGAGCCAAGAGATCGTGAACCTTATGGTTCAAGCTCAGGGTCAGAAGGAATTGGCCAGAGCTTGTAAGCCTGAAGAAACCCCCGAGATGGCTCCAGAGGGTTGGTTTTGTGTTCATGAGAACTACATTTCCAAGAGCCACCTTAGGTTTCCCCTTCCTGACCTGCTGTTAGNCAGAGGGTTGGTTTTGTGTTCATGAGAACTACATTTCCAAGAGCCACCTTAGGTTTCCCCTTCCTGACCTGCTGTTAGATCTCTTGGATCATTATCGACTAGCCCTTTCCCAGCTTTGTCCCTCCGTCATTCGAGTGATAAACGGTTTTATCACCAGGTCCAAGGAGGAGGGAGTTGCTACCGGGTTGAGCTCTTTAATGAGCCTATTTTCGATAAAGGAGAGTGCTTCTAAGGAGGGTGGTAGCGGGACTTACTACCTCGCTAGTCGTCCCAGGCTGGGTATTTTCAAATTTTCCAGCAGTGATGATGACTGGAGAAGGAAATACTTCTATGTCAAGATCGATCCTTTGACGGTCCCGGCGGGTCGTACACTTAGGGCTTCGTGGTCTGACGCGTCCGGTTAGGATCTGTTAGGAATGAGTTCGCTGATTTCTCATTGGTTATAGTCTAATGAATGTTTGTTTGTTTTTGCAGATATTGAAGATCCTGCTGAGCTCCCAAACAAGCTTACTAGAGCTCTTTTCCGAAAGCTGCAGCAGACTCCCTGCACTTGGGCGTCGTACACCACTTCGCGGATTGGATCAGCCAGGTTTCCAGACCGTTACCACGCTTCCTTCTTAGATCCCGTACCGGTTACAGATTTAGAAGGTAACACGTTTGCTCTTATGTCTTTGACATATATTAGTTTGTTTTAGGATTGCTGAGTGCTAAAGTGAATTTTGTAACGCAGTCTCTGAAGGTAATTCCGTAGTATCGATTTCAACGGAAGCTAGCACCTCAGGAACCGAGAAAACCAAATCAGAAAAGATGCCTCTCCAACCGTCATTCCGAGCTAGGGGTAGGCCTTCGAAAGCTGCCAGTACCTCGCGAGGAAGCGAGAAGAATCAAGGAGGTTCCTTCCTTAGCTCTGTAAAGGAGGTCCTTGATGATGGGGTATCAGCTAAGGGTGCTGATGTCATGGAGACGGAGGTAGCTCAGGAGGTGGTTCTCCGTTCTACAGCTCAGGTCACGGAAGTCGAGACTCTGGTGGCTAAGGAACCTCCCGAGACTGAGCCTCATAGGAGCAAGAGGTCGCGTGCTGATCAAAGTGACAGACCTTCCAGGTCTTCCTCCTCTTCCTCGAGGGGTGGGACCGTTGGTTGGAATTTCGCTCACTCGAAGCCTGGATCGATTCTCGACGACCCTTGGGGCTTGGCGACCTTAATGAGGCATATGAAGCAGACAGGATGCTCCCTCCCTCCAGTGAGCAGTCTCACTAACAGGGATGAGTTTATCGATATCGCTCATTATATGGGTCAGGTAAGAGTCTTTAGTCTCTTATCATTGCTTTGGATAGATATTTATTCGGCTGTTTATCTTTTGGTAGCTGGCTGGAGCTATCAACAAGGCTCAGCTGAAGTTCGAGGAGGCGGTGAGTAATGCGCCTAACGCTGAAGAGTTAGCTCAGGTCACTGAGATGGTTAAAACTACCAAGATTGAGCGAGATCAAGCCAGAGCTCAGGTCTCAAGACTCCAGTCCGAAGTTGGGAGGCTCGGTTTGAAGTCCGATACTCAGCAAGGGAAGATCGAGAGCATGGAGATCGATATCAGAGTGAAGAGTAGGAAAATTTCTGAGCTAGAGAGTGCTCGTAAGATCGCGGAGCAGCATGTCCAGGACTTGATCGTATCGGCTCAAGTTAGCCAGAGGAACAAAGAGGCTGAGGTCAAGTTTGCTGTTAGGAGTGGGAAGAAAGAAGTCATCGATGCTTACAACAAGATCCTAACCTCTGTCAAGGAGAAGTTCTCCAAGAAGAAAGATGAGGTTGACCTCCAGATTTATGCTCAAGAGCTTCAAGCTAATACGGAGCTCCTGAAGGACTTGCTATCGAACGAGATTCAGAACGCTGAGGAGGAGTATGATCGTTTGAAGTCTTTGATGCCCGAGGCTATTGCAGCTTACGAGAAAGCTCAGGTCTCCGACTTCTCAATCAGCAAGCTTCCTCTTCCTCAGCTTTCAGAGAGCTCAGGTACTTTTGAAGTTAACACGTTCAATTCGTCCTTTCATGGAGAATATGGTTCTAACTTAGGTTCGATGGGTCCCTATTTAGCTC